TCTGAAAACGATGATGGTGAGGCTCCTGCCAATATTGCTCGCCATCGCATTCTCGCCCCCGCCCCCCCTCTTCCCCCCCTTGGTCCCACGCCCGCAGCAACTACCTTCATGCGTAAGGGCGTGCGCGACCAGGCCGAAGTCTTCACTGCTATCCAAGCGCACCTGCAGCACATCGACTTCGAGCTGCAGCACGGCAACGTCACCGGCGCACTCAACAACGTGAAACACATCGAGACGCTTATTAATAAGCGTTTCGAGGTGCTTCTCGTGGCGGATGAGGCCGGCTTTGAGGCCGCTGATCGCTTCCAGTTCTACCAGTCCAAGAGTGTGCTGACGTCCCGTTCCTACAAGCTGGCGGTCGCTGACGTGGCTGCACTCAAGCGCGCACGCGCCATCTACCCCCGTGGTGGTCGTCCTGGCGGTCGTGACGGAGAAATGGACCTCAAAGGCTCCCCCCTCTCACGTGCCAGCAGCCACGCTTCAAGGGTGTGTGCTTCCGCTGTGGCCAGCCAGGTCACATGGCTAACGCGTGCCCCATGGGCGGGCGTGGAGCACAAGGCCCCTCACCGGTGGTGTGAGCGGGGGTAAGGGCGGTGCCCTTCGCCAATATGCAAGAAGCATATTGGGCTGCACCGGGGGTGCATGGCTGGTGGCCGGCCTTAGGACAAGGCAAATGGTCTAGTAGACTAGGGTAGCCCTAGGGGCAGAGAAGGCCGTGGGCCTAGGACCTTGCGTTATTCCATGTATGGATCATGCATGCCGTTATGGTGCATTGAAACTAAGATTGCAAAAAAAAAAAAAAAAAAAAAAAAAACTTTTGCAAGGCCTCGATGAAAAAGAGAAAGAGAGAGGGCAAGAGAAACAGAGAGAGATCAAGCGAGAGAGAAAGAGAGAGAGAGAGAGAGAGAGAGAGAGAGAGAGAGAGAGAGAGAGAGAGAGAGAGAGAGAGAGAATGGATGAGAGAGAGAGAGAGAGAGAGAGAGAGAGAGAGAGAGAGAGAGAGAGAGCATAAGAGAAAGCAAAGGGAAAGAGCACAAGAGAAAGAGAGAGAGAGAGAAAAAGAGATAGAAAGAGAGAAAGAAAGAAAGTGTGTGTGTGTGTGTGTATGTATGAGAGAGAGAGAGAGAGAGAGAGAGAGAGAGAGAGAGAGAGAGAGAGAGAGAGAGAGAGAGAGAGAGAGAGAGAGAGAGAAAGAGAGAGAGAGAGAGAGAGAGAGAGAGAGAGAGAGAGAGAGAGAGAGAGAGAGAGAGAGAGAGAGAAAGAGAGAGAGAAAGAGGAGAGAGAGAAAGAGAGAGAGAGAGAGAGAAGAGAGAGAGAGAGAGAGAGAGAGAAAGAGAGAGAGAGAGAGAGAGAGAGAGAGAGAGAGAGAGAGAGAGAGAGAGAGAGAGAGAGAGAGAGAGGTGACGAAGGCTCGAGCGCTAAAGGGAGAAGGCATGAATATCAGCCATGCCCTTTTTGCAATTGAACATGAGCCACTCTTGCTTTGCCAACTGAATGGGAGCTATGCCCCCCCTGGAATCGACTATGAAACATCCACCCTTTAGGCAATTGTCTGGTCTCACTCACTTGGGTACTTATGTGATTCTTGCCACCCGACCCTTTGGTCCAGCAGAAATTGGGAAAGGATGGTTACACAACGAACTTGACCCCTACGAGTACGCGGTTACAGACAAGGACGTAACTGTTATGCATAGTCGATTGCGTCACGCCCTACACTGGTGGTGCTCATGGTGCGATAGCAGTTTCATCCTGTCCATCATCGAGAAAGGATATTGGCTTCCTTGGAAGGAAGCCGTGCCACATGCCTTTGAGGATAGCAATCATGCTGGAGTTCACACACACCTGGACTTCACTCGTGGAGCGATTCGCGACCTCGTCACCTCGGGTGCCGCCGTCAAGGTCCCTACGAAGGACGCGCTCATGTGTGTCAGTCCACTTAACGTGGTGGAGCAGCGCGACAAGTGTCGCCTCATTCTTGACTTGCGCAAAGTCAACAACTGCCTCGACATCCCCAAGTTCAAGTACGAAGGCTTGAACAGGGTAGCCGAACTCATCCGCCCAGGCGATTGGATGTTCTCCATCGACCTAAAGTCAGGCTACCACCATGTCGAGATCCACCCCTCCTGCTGGAAGTTCTTGGGATTCCAGTTCGAAGGAGACTACTATTCCTTCATATCGCTCCCGTTCGGGCTTGCCACTGCCCCGTTCGTCTTCACACAACTGATCAAACAACTGGCAAAGCGATGGCGGGCAAGCGGCGTGCGGGTTGTTCCATATGTCGACGACTTACTATTCCTCTGCAACTCCCACTCGGATGTACGCTCGACCTGCGCAGCTGTTGTTAAGGACCTGAAGGCAGCAGGTTTTGTTATAAACGGCAAAAAGTCACATCTACACCCCTCGTGCCAGATAGCTTTCCTCGGCCTGGAGATTGATGCCGCCCAAGGCACCTTCTCCGTCGGACTCGAACGTCGAGCACAACTTTTTGCTTCACTCCAAGCCCTCATCACCCAGGGACAAGAGGGACGACCGGTTCCCATCCGGTCCCTTGCGAGAATCACAGGAATGCTGGCCTCCATGAATCTGGCATTGGGTGCTATGGCACGTGCCTTTAGTCACGAGCTCCTTCGACTTATTGCAGACGCCACCTCTTGGTACGCCAAGGCACACTTGTCGTCGACAGCAGTGCACGAGCTGCATTTTTTGCTTGCGCAGTTCGACAAGTTCAACGGAAACCCATTCCATCTCAGTCACCAGTTCGATGCCGTCATCCACGTCGATGCAAGCGCATACAGCTGGGGTGCCACCCTGACACAACTTCCTGGGACGCCCATTGAAGCCAGTGCTCGCATGCCCGACGAATTACTGCCCACCTCCAGCACTCAACGGGAACTCGAAGGAGTTTTATGGGCTCTCCGAACTTTCGCTGCCCGCATACCCAAGCACCACGTACTCGTTCGGGTAGACAATCAAGGCATGGTATTCATCCTACGCAAAGGTGGATCGCGCCACCCCACGCTTACGCTACTATGTCAAGCAATCATTCGCCTCTGCCTAGAACACCAAACAAGGCTAGCTGTCGAATGGATCCCACGAGAGCTAAATGCGCACGCCGACGAACTTTCAAAAATCCAAGACCACGATGACTACTCCCTCAAAGCCCCGTGGTTCCGGCTCTTGGATCGCCGCTTCGGTCCCCACTCTATCAATCTCTTCGCAAATGTGCACAACGCTCAGCTGGAGAGGTTTTGTTCCAAGATTCCACACCCTACGGCCGCAGTGTTTAACGCATTTTCGTTCAGCTGGCAGCACGAGCGCGGCTTTGCGTTTCCCCCTCCCAACCTCATTCTAGCCACATTACGACACGCTAAACGCACACACGCTGAGGTGACCTTGGTCATTCCCGAGTGGCCGGGAGCATCATGGTGGCCACTCCTCCAACAGGCACCTGACGCCTGGGTGCCAGAAGTAACGGCACACATTCCCCTCACCCACGGAAGCCAATGCCTACGCCCCGGCACACACGCACTCGCTTTCGCAGGACAAGGCTTTCCTCCTAGTAAGATGATTGCACTGCATGTCACGTATAAAAATTAATAATAATTGTACTCTACGCTGTACCTTTTCAGGCATTATAACGAAGCTGCAAACACAACTACTACATGTAATCACCCATGTCCGTGCCCCTTCCACCATCTGAACGTATGAGCCCTACTGGCTCAAATTTCGCTCCTTCTGCATGAAGGTGAAGTTGAGCTACTTGCCTGCAACGGATATGACCTTGGCACTCTACCGCATTCATGCACTAAATCACCAGGCCACCACATCTGCTATATCGCTTACATGCTCCGCCGTCGCCTTCGCGCATCGCATGACTGGCGAGCCCTCTCCCTCGACTGGACCATTTACACTACATGTGCGCGAATTTGCCAAACGCCATGGCCCGCGCCCCACCCGGAACAAGGAACCTATGTCGCTGCACCAAGTGCACACCATGGCCCGCCCCTTTCTGGAGTCCACCCGGCCGGCCGAATACCAGAAAGGACTCATCCCCATCCTTATGTTCACCGCCTTCCTACGCTACTCCGACCTTGTCAGTCTCCAATGGCATGACATACAGTTTGAGCCGGAGGCGATGTGGCTGCTCATCCCGCACTCCAAGACCGACCAGGAAAGCAGGGGCACGTGGATTCCGGTCGCCGCCACTTCTGGCCCATATTGCCCGGTACGCTGCACACGACACTTTCTTCTCCTCGCGGGTCACACCTTCACCCCACACGGGCCATTGATCCGAGTCTTCGGGAACAGCAGTACGGCAACTCCACAGGACCACGCACCTTCGTACACCACCATCCGGAACTGGTGCCTTGAAGCATTCACCAAGGCCGGCCTCAATAGCGCCCACCTCGGCACCCACTCCTTTCGCAAGGGCGCTGCTACAGCGGCAGCCAGCCTGGGGATATCCGACCGGCTGTTCAAGCGACTTGGCCGTTGGCGCAGCGATAATGCCAAGGAGCTCTACGTTACCATCGCGCATGACCAACTCCTTCAAGCCTCCATGCAACTCCAAGATGCAGCCACCGCTCCGACGCCCAATCAGCACCAGCTATCTATTGAACGCCACCGCCAACCCCTTCTGCACATGTCTCAGAAGACCCAGATGAAATGAAGCACGCTGCCTTTACAAGAGGACCTAAGCAGACTTTCACAATATGTAATTTTTTGAAAGTGTGTAACACTTTCTAAAAATGTGTATTGTGAGTGTGTAGCGAGGGCCAACACAGCAAAGGCAGCGACGAAGCGCTACTCACCCTCTTTTGCCTACAAAAGAGGGACGTGAGGCCATTCAGCTTCACCCACGTTCTTCATTTCTAGTTTCTCTAGTTCAATTTCCCAGCCCACCCACCCTCTTGTGTGTAGTTCTTTGTTGGACGAGAACCATGTATGTTTCCTAGATGAAATGAAGCACGCTGCCTTTATAAGAGGACCTAAGCAAACTTTCACAATGCGTCATTATATTGCCAGACAACTATCGTTCATCATTAACAACTTGTCTCAATTTCGTCGAAAATGCTCTGAAGCTTGCTAACCATAACTGACATTGGAGGCCGTTGCTTCCAATTGCAGCAGATGGCATAGCGAACCAGAGTGAAGGCAATAAGAACAGGCTTCCTTGCCCACTCCCCCTCGATAGCAGGGTCCATAACCAACAAAGGGTCGGGTAAATCCTTGGAGATTATTAACTGCCTCAACTCCTGGTACTGTGCACTGAGGGGGCAGCAGCCAGACATCAGCTCCAATAAGAACACGCCAAAAGCGAAGGTGTCAGATTTCTGGCTTAGTTGGCCAGTCTGGAAATAGATTGGGTCGATGTAGCCCATAGATCCAACCACTTTCGTTGAGACGTGCGTTTTCCAGTCATCTATAGTGCGAGCCAAACCAAAGTCAGCCACCACCGGAGTGAGATCCTGCAGTTACCAGTTACAGATAAAAAAAAACGTAACATATAGATCAGATAAGGTGCTAATATGAGATGGAATGGAATGAGTCAGCACAAATTTAGCATGTACGGGGAGCAACTCAATGCAGCAGAAGAAAGGTCACAGTATAGCAGGTGACAGAAGAATGGAATTATCGAAACACTCCCATCCAAGATAATATCATGGCCTCGTACCTCTCGCAGTAGCACGTTTGACGACTTGAAGTCACGGTGAACTAAGTTGCGCGTGTGAATGGCAGCTAGCGCCTCGGCACACCCCAGAGCCACCCTTATGCGATCTCTCCAGGGGAAGTGCACCTCTCCCTGGCGGACTGGATATGGGAGTAGGGGGGAGGGGGGAGAGGAAGGGGAGAGGGATGAGGGGGTTGTTGTTGTGAGTTGCTATCCGCTTGGAAGAGCGAGAGGAGGATAGAGAATATACGAGAGAGGAAAAGCAGGGAGAGGGAGTGGGGAGCGAAGAGGAAATGCTGGCTCACCTCGTTTGAGGAAGCACTTGACGTCGCCCCCAGAGATGAGCTCGTACACGAGCACAGGCCCTTGGGCTGTGTCTAACGCCACGCCTTCCAAACGCAGGATGTTGGGATGATTCACTGCTGACAGGGCTGCCACCTCAGCCTGAAATCCCGGAATGGATAAGGGGCAGAGGAAATTGGGCATGTAAGCAAGGGGTAAATGACATGCGCAAAGTGTGGCACATGCAAGTGAAACATGCATATTTGCTTGTTTGTTTATTTGTTTGTTTGTTTTTTTTGTGGTTATTCATTACATCTACACCCAAGTGTAACGCTCACCTTGAAGCTCGTCAGGTCTCGGGTAACATGCTTCCCGTTCATCACTTTCACCGCCACTTCACACTCCCGCATCTCGCCGCCTGTAGCGCTGCTGCTTGCGCCAGTGGCGCAACTCTCGCCAGCAGGCAGCATCATCCGCCCCTGGAACACCTTCCCGAATCCCCCCTCCCCTATGGCGCGCGCAAACCCCCCCGTTGCCGCCTGAAGCTCCGCGGAGGTGAACTCGCGGAGCGGAGGGAGCGCGGAGGGGGGAGCGGGGAAGCCTTCATACGAACCCGCGGAGTCGCCTGCGGAGTGGCTGGTGGAAAAATGCGGGGCGGCGGAAGACTCGGGGGAGGCAATGGCGGGGGGAAGCGGCGCCGCCAATGAATTCGACGAGGAAGCGGCGGAGAATTCCGCGCGTCCGTAGTTGGCTGGGGAACGGTAGACGTCCTTGGCGGAAATACCGGGTGCTGGGGGAGGGAAGGAGGCGGAACCATTCTCGGGGCCATTGGCGGAAGGGGAGGGGGGAAAGGAGGAGGCGGGGGGGGCGTCCGGCCTTGATCCGCCGGAGAATTGAGCAGGCGGAGGGGAAGGGTTGACGGGAACGACGGCGGAAGGGGGGTGGGGGATTGGTCCGCGGAGAGGCGCGGAATGGTACCCGCGGTGGGGCGCAACGGGGGACGGCGTATACGACGGGATGGAAGGTGCGGGGAACTGGGGGGCGGTGGCTGTGGGATGTTGAGCGGAAGGATCTGCGCGGGGCAATGGGGGGGGGGGGGAGGAAGCGGGCGGGGGAACGGGAAAAGGGGAACCGGGGGGAATGGGAGGTGAGACGTTGGGGATAGCGAGATCGGCGGAGCGGGACGAAGGGATTCGCGGAGCGGGACGAAGGGAGTTGCGGGGCGGGACGACGGAATTGGCGGAGCGGAGGGAACTTGAGGAAGGCGGAGGATCACTCTTCGTGTCGTTATTGTCGCCGGTGCGACTTCCGCCGGAAACGGGCACTAAACAGGGCGGGGAAACGGGCATATCAGTACATTACATATTATAATCACTTCCAACTAAGCCCCCCCGTTATAACTCACATCTTGGCATCACTTTCGTAGGATCTTGTCCGTCGCTGCCGTAGTCATCGCAACCGAAGCAATTGCCCATGGCGTAGTAACAAGTCGAACTCGCAGTGGGGGGAGTCTCCCGACCAGTTTGCCGTCTCGAGGCTTGGTGTAGTCCCCTACTTCTAGGAGGAGCCGACGAATTATTATTCAGACGAATTCAGAGTGATTTAAAAAATTGCTACGGAAAGAGACCGATCGGATCTGGCGAATACTAAGCCGTGGCGTGGTGGCTCCAAAATAAACGTAAAAGTACTAGCTACGTGTACGCGAAAGCCGGGAAAACACAATCGAAGGTAAGTAAAAAGGCGCGAAGTCTAAAGCAGCGAGCAGCTGCCGCTCTAATCGTGCAGTGAGGGAGATGCGAGGACGGCAGGCGATGAGTATGCGTCTTTATTGTACAATAATCGCTAATGAGGCCCGAGAAGATACATACACACATGACCCGAGGGGTTGGTGTGGCGCTTGTTTGGTTGGACAGGAATCATCCTCGAGGAAGGAGCGGGGGAGGGTGGGGGGGGGGTGGAGGGAAAGGGGGGGGGTGAGAGGGGCGGTTGAGTTTTAGTCAAGTCGTCGTGAGTGGTGGTGGGGGTTAAAATGTGTTTTGGATGGGTGGGGGGTGGATGGGAGAAACGGGGGAGGAAGGCCCCTTGGTTGGGAGGGGAGGGGAACGAGTGGGGGGATGAAAATTGGAGTTGCGAGCGCGACGCGCAGAGTGGAAGTGCTTAGGTTTTGTTTGGCCGTCGATTGAGGAACTCAGCGCTGGATTTCGCCGTCCGATCAGAGATGATATTTTAAGCGCGGTGCGGTGATTGGGGAATGGTTGTCGGCGCAGCGTCCACGACATCCTGTCATGCTGCCCGGGCACCCCACGAGATTTTCCCTTGGAGTGCACGGGAAGCTCTGAAGGGAATCAGAAACCACGAAAATTCGCGGGGAAACATCTTTCAATGAGCGTCAACAGAGCCACCAGCCTAGACTCCACACCAAAGTTCCAAACAGGCATGTCAGGTCGGGTGGAAGAATCGATCAGTTGGGGCAGCCACTTTCGCATGCTTGTCAGCTTGTAAAGCTCGTATCCACCTGAACCGCATTCTATCACTTTCCGCCAAATTTAACCAGCTGGAAACCCAGCTTCAAGATGAACCTGAAAGACAGTTTCAGCCACAACGAAACGGTACCACGCCCTGAAATGGGGAAAACAAATGCCCCGCACGGCCACTCAAACGGGGCAAATTTGACGCCATTGACCTGGTTGATCTAAGCGACATCGTTACAGAGGCTTGTCTTTAGGGTAAGATCTGGTTTGATTGATGAGAAGGTTGTCTAGTAACCATCCATAATTTCATATATAAACATGTTGTTATGCAATCCCCTTGTTAGCTGGAGGCTCCGTTGCCTTCTGTACTTGCTAAGCGCAACGAATCTAGGTCTACAGCCAGAAACGGCATGTTAGCTCCTATGAAACCGCCTTCGTCTAGGACTATCCCCACCGCTCTTTCAAGAATCTCTTGTTTCACCTCCAGCACATTTCGACCATCCTGCTGCACAAAATCAACCAAACGTTTCCTGGTAAGAGCATGCAAACGAACAACTGCAAGGGGAGATTCGTCCAGCAGTTGTACCACTAGTGCAAGTGGTAGAAAAAGGTGGTGTAGATAATTCTTGTGCATCTCGGATGCAGCACAGAAAGCAGCTAATGAGAGGCATATGTAATACCAACACCCATGTTATATAATGCACGTAAAAACACCTGATTTCTCACCTGAGGATTCAGTGAAGCCAACATGCCCACATGAAGGGAGGCCCCACAAAGATCTTTCAGCACTGCGTGTGCTGGGCCTTGTGATTGGTCCACGTCAGCGTGTGACCTCAGCATGTCGGTGATGCGAGTGGTGATAGTGCGCACCCGCACAATATCCTCAATCCGAAGCTCAAACGTGGCTTTAAGGGGGTAGCACTTGGCCCGGGAGAAATTAGTGATCACCTGCAAGGAGGGTGGGAGGGAAGGGTTGATGCGTACAGTGTGATGGCACACACTCGCATTACAGCCTCGATTCGAAGTTCACAATCGTGGCCTTCAGGAGTAGCAGCACTGCGTTAAAAAAAAAAAAAGTGATCACCTGCAAGGAGGGTGGGAGGGAATGGGGCGATGCGAGGTGTCTTTCGCACTCGCACAGCTCAGCATGTGGGTGAACAGGCAATCTCCACCACCAGCCCGGATATGGCAACTGACAAGAACAGGATGACATACTTGCTATAAGCGCACTCACTGCTGTGTTGAAGATCTGATTTGGCACCACTACAGGCGCCTTGTCTGCTCCAGCCAGCTTGGTGTGCAGAAAGCCAATCTCAACCACCTGCCCGGATATGGCGCCTGCCTGGATCCTCTCCCCCACCACGAATGGCTGCGAGATGAAGAGGACCAAACCGCCAAAGAAGTTTGTTACTATTTCTTTAGATGCGAATCCCATCGCAACACCTGGCGTTAGGGGGGTTGAGGAAAGGTGGGGGCGTGGAGTGTTTTCCCTTGAATTTTCTCCCCCACCATGAACGGGTGTGAGAGGGAGCGGCCCAGATTACCGAAAAAGTTTGTTACAATCTCCTTGGAAGAAAATCCCACAGCGACACCTGGCGTTTGGTGTATTGGGGGGAAGCAGAGGCGTATTTTCCCCTAAACGCCCTCCCCCACCACGAAAGGCTGTGAGAGGGAGAGGTCCAGACCACCGAAGAAGTTTGTTACAATCTCCTTGGAAAAGAATCCCACAGCGACAACTGGCATTAAGGGGGGTTGAGGGAAAAAAGGAGGGTGTTTTCCCCTGAATTATTCACTCAAAAGCCCTAAACGCTCTCCCCCACCCAGAACGGCCGTGAGAGGGAGGGGGCCAGACCTACGAAGAAGCTTGTTACAATCTCCTTGGAAGCCAATCCCACAGCGACACCTGGCGTTTGGGGGGCTGGGGGGTGATGGTGGGGGCAGGAAGTGTTTTCCCTTGCTCTTGTCCAGCCCAAACGGAGGAAGTGTGACGATTTTTTAGAATTCTAAAAATCGCCTGCACTAGAGCGCGGAAAACATTGGTGACGGACTTCTTGAAAGCGAATCCCATGGCGACACCTGGCGGTGGGGGAGTTGGTGGAGGAAGGAGGGATTGCTTTGGAGAAGATGCTACTTGTCTAAAGGAGAAGGTAGACGGCCAGAGTTTCAGTGATCCCTCCAGTCATTAACCGTGGAATCCTTTCGCCCTTCTCCCAAAAGAGGCTTGAACTGGATGATGGAGGCATGCCTGCCAAAAAGGACTCGTCCTCCCTCACACACTCCCTCCCTCACTCACTCACTCCCTCCCTCACTCACTCCCTCGCACCTGAGATGCCGCCCACAGCCACAAGGGAGAGCAGGGAGACGCCAAAGAGATCAAGCACCGTGCCCACACCCACGAGGTGGATGAGTAGCGAGAGGAAGCGGCTGACGTTGAGCAGGATGGGCTGGTGGGAGGGGGATGGGTGGGGAAGGGGGTGGGGAAGAGGGGCTGTGTCGTTGTGAGTCACCATGCCGACACCCGCAAGATGAACGAGCAGCGAGAGCAAGCGACTGATGTTCAGCAGGATGGGCTGGAAGGCGGGGAGGGGGAAGGGGGAAGGAGGGGGGTGGGAAAGCCTGGCATGGTCTGTCCAGGTAGGCACGCGTCTTTCACTCTCCCTACCTTCTCCTCTGGGTGCCTCTCAAACACCATCCGCATCACCCGGTCTTTCCACCCCACAGCGAAGCATGTCACTGCCACCACCACTGACACCAGCCTGAACCTCCGGAGAAGATATGGGCTCAGGTGGAGCTTTGCCAGGGGGAGAAGAAGTCGCATGCTGAGAAGGTGGGGGATGGGGGGGGGGGTTGATGGGGGGGAGAAGAGCAAATGCAAGACAAGGGAACATCTTGCTAAGGGGCAAGAGAGGGCACATACTGATGGGGGGAGGCGGGAAGACAAGAGGAGAAGAGAGAAAGGGGGAAGTAATTGCCACCACCACTGCCACCGGTCTGAACCTCCAGAAAAGGAAGGGGCTCAGGTGGAGCTTTGCTAGCGGCAAGAGAAGGCGCATGCTGGTCGGAGGGGATGGGGGGATTGGGGGGAATAGCGGGAATGGGGGAGTGGGGGGAATGGGGGAGTGGGGGAAATGGGGGAGTGGGGGGAATCCAGTAGCACTGATGAAGGCTCGGCGGGTTTGATCCCCGTAAGCCGAAACATGTTTGCGACCTGGTAAATTTGAGTGAAGAGTTTTTACGAAGCAAATCTCTGCCTAGGATTTTTTTTTACTCTCGTTCTTGTTGCTCAAGCGACTGACTTCGCACTGCTGCTCTTCCCAAGACCATGAGTGACGACGACCCGGGGGGAATAGCGGGAATGGGGGAGTGGGGGGAATGGGGGAGTGGGGGGAATGGGGGAGTGCGGGGAATGGGGGAGTGGGGGAAATGGGGGAGTGGGGGGAATGGGGGAGAAGAGAGGAGGCAAGAGAAAAGAACAATTTGCCACCACCACAGCGACCGGCCTGAACCTCCGGAGAAGATATGGGCACAGGTGGAGCTTTGATAAAGGGAGAAGAAGACGCATGCTGAGAAGGTGGGGGTGGGGAGAAGGAGAGGTGGGGTAAGGGAAGGGGAAGACGTGGGAAAAAGGTAGAGGAGAAGAAGACACATGATGACAAAGTTGGTGGGGGTAGGGGGGGTTGGGGGGTTGGAGGGGAAGATGGAGTGAGGGAGGGCGATGGTGTCTGCAAACGCTTTTTCAGCTTGAACAAGCACATCAACACTCATTGGTCTGCTGTTGTCAAGTCGATTATGCAGTACCTGCGCGGCACATAGCGGCACATCGTGGCACATAGCGGCACATAGTGGCACAGAGTGGCACATAGTGGCACATAGTGGCACATAGTGGCACAGAGTGGCACATAGTGGCACATAGTGGCACAGAGTGGCACATAGCGGCACATAACGGCACATAGTGGCACATCGTGGCACATAGTGGCATATAGTGGCACATAGCGGCACGTAGTGGCACATTGGATCAAAACAATGCAATGCCACGAGGCAATGAATCACTGTCGGGAGAGGAAGAATGCGGTGGCAACGAACTGTTACAAAGGGATATGAGGGGATACAAATGGGTACCAAGGGATACAGATGGTTGTAAGTGGGGTGCTTGCAAAAGACGACTCACTGTCTGGTGAGGAAGAATGCTGCGGCAACGAACTGCAGGGGAAGCACGAGAGCGCCAAACACGGAGTCCTGAAAGTCTTCCTCTGTAACACCATTGTCCCGCATGACAACGGAACCCCACAGCCTGAGACGCAGGGGGGATGAAAGGTTAGAGAAGGAGGCCTGAAAGACCATAAGAGGAGAACGGACTGAAGAGCGCCAAACAACGAGTCCTGGAAAGTCTTCCTCTGTCACGCCACTGTTGCGCATTACAAAGGAACCCCACAGCCTGAGACGCAGGGGGGGGGGGGAACAAGAGCAGCAGGAGACACGACGAGACACGAGCCGACTTATGAGTTGACAGGGGGGCCCAAACGTGAAGTCCTGAGAAGCCTCCCCTGTTACGAGTTGGTAGTGACCCGCATGAGTTACCCCTTATTGGTTACCAGTTGGTAGTTACCCGCATGAGTTACCCCTTATTGGTTACCAGTTGGTAGTTACCCACATGAGTTACCCCTTATTGGTTACCAGTTGGTAGTTACCCGCATGAGTTACCCCTTATTGGTTACCAGTTGGTAGTTACCCGCATGAATTACCCCTTACTGGTTACCAGTTGGTAGTTACCCGCATGAGTTACCCCTTATTGGTTACCAGTTGGTAGTTACCCGCATGAGTTACCCCTTATTGGTTACCAGTTGGTAGTCACCCGCATGAGTTACCCCTTATTGGTTACCAGTTGGTAGTTACCCGCATGAGTTACCCCTTACTGGTTACCAGTTGGTAGTTACCCGCATGAGTTACCCCTTATTGGTTACCAGTTGGTAGTTACCCACATGAGTTACCCCTTACTGGTTACCAGTTGGTAGTTACCCACATGAGTTACCCCTTATTGGTTACCAGTTGGTAGTTACCCGCATGAGTTACCCCTTATTGGTTACCAGTTGGTAGTTACCCGCATGAATTACCCCTTACTGGTTACCAGTTGGTAGTTACCCGCATGAGTTACCCCTTATTGGTTACCAGTTGGTAGTCACCCGCATGAGTTACCCCTTATTGGTTACCAGTTGGTAGTTACCCACATGAGTTACCCCTTATTGGTTACCAGTTGGTAGTCACCCGCATGAGTTACCCCTTATTGGTTACCAGTTGGTAGTTACCCGCATGAGTTACCCCTTACTGGTTACCAGTTGGTAGTTACCCACATGAGTTACCCCTTTTTGATTACCAGTTGGTAGTTACCCTCATGAGTTACCCCTTACTGGTTACCAGTTGAGTGCTCGGCAGATGTGGGGCGTGACCGCAAAGAGGGCGACGAGGGTGAGAATAACGATGGACTCCCGCAGAGCAATCACCACCTGCCACGTGGCATGCAACACAAGGCACACGTGGCATGTGATGCGAGGTTCGCCCAAGTGTCACAGTGCAGATGAGAGGTCATCAATGACGTGGAGGGTGTTTTGCATGGCAAGTGAGTGTCTTCCAGCACAACACACATGGTCCGTGAAAGCGCGGTTGTCTCTGTGAATATGCGTGTGAATCAACTCACGGCGACGCACTTGCCAGCATCTCCAATTGTTGAACAGCGTTGGTCACAGCATTGGTCACAAAGGCCGGCAGTCATGCCAGCAATAGAGGGTTTTTGTTTTTTTAGAATTCTAAAAAACAATCGTTGCACAGCATTGGTCACAAAGGCTGGCAGGCATGGCAGCAGTACATTGGAGTCGACAGCTCTAGCCGAGCTGGAGAGCAGTGGAGTGAGGAGAACAATCTCCAACGCTCACACACTTACCAGCGTCTCTGATCGCTGCACAGCTCATCGCTGCACAGCTCATCGCTGCACAGCTGTGCCCGGTGCTCACAAAGGCCAGCAGCCATGCCAACAGCCCCAGGGTCCCAGGGACCCCTGGGCAGGCGGGAGCCACAGTGGAGCAAACAGGATGTGGAATCACTTTTTGAGTTCTAAGAAATGATTCCAAAATGTGGGTGGGTTCTGTTCAGGGAAGTCAGCTTTTGAGTCGACTCAAAAGCTGGAGTCGTGTTTTTGAATTCTAACAAATGACTCCAGGATGTGGGTGGGTGCGTTTCAGGGAAGTGAGGTTGCTGTCCAACACTCCAAAAAACCCTCACAAATCTCTGAGCGCTGCACAGCCGTGCGGCTGATCGTTCCTTCTCCTGGCATGAGCCCCTCGGAGTAAACTCCTCTGGCTGAGGTTACTTTTGAGGCGCCTCAAAACCGCGAGTAATGAGACGACTGGGAGCATGGTTTATAAGATCTCTCAATCCCGAATTGCACTCACCAGCTGCACAGCTCTGTTAACATGGCCTGGCAGCCACGCCAGCAAGCCAAGACACCCCTCGCCAGGCATGAGCACGCTGGAGTAAACAGCTCTGGCCTAGACATCTTGGATCATGAACCACAATCACCAGCATCTCTGACCGCTGCATAGCATTGGTAGCGTGATCCGTCAGAAGCGTCAGCAGCACCCCTCCCCTGGCATGGGCACGTTGGAATATACTGCTCTGGCGGCGTTATTCAGGAGAGTGTCCTCTCTGGCATCGGAGCACGCTGAGGTTGACTCAAGGGTGGTGCCGCACTCACCAGCGTCTCTGAGCGCTGTACAGCTGTGGTCACATAGGCCGGCAGCCACGCCAGCAAGCCAAATGACCCCTCGCCTGGTATGAGCACGTTGGAATACACTGCTCTGGCGGCGTTATTCAGGAGAGTGTCCTCCAGCATGGGAGCGCAGCGCGCCACACAACTAGCCACCCTCACTGCTTTCACTGCCACCGGTGCCAGCGCTGCTGCCCCCCCGGCTGCTGCTGCGCCTGCTGCTCCCGCTCCTGCTGCTGCTGATGCTCCCCCTCCAGCTGCTGCTGCTTCCCCAAGCGCAGCAGCAGCACCCGCACCTGCCCCTACTGCTGCAGCCGCTCCCGCAACCACCCCTGCAGCTGTCACAGCAGCACCAGCAGCACCAGCAGCCGAGTTTACCCGCACCCCTGCCCCTGCCCTTTCCCGAGCCCTGCGGCTGCCAGGAGCTGCTAATCTGCCTGCTGGGCCGCTGCGCAACTGCTGCACAGTGCCCCTGAAAGGAACGGGAGAGGTGAAGGCTGGGGGGAGAGCTGGGGCGTAATGATCCGTGCACAAGAGGCGAGGCGGAGGGCAGTGGCCAGAGCAGGGTGAAACGGACGAGAGGGGTGGGGGTGAGCGCTGGAGGGAGATGCGCCTGCATGGCTGGGGCTGGGGTGCTCTGGGGGTTGTTCTGTGGTTTGATCTATGTGTTGCTGTTCTGATAAGTGGTGGAAATGGTGTGGAGATGGGTCGCGCACACAGTGGGGTTGTGCAGAAGTGACGGCTTGGTGCTGCATATGGTACTGGCTGTAGATGATTAACGCAGGCAGGGTGGGGAGGGAGGGCAGAGAAAGCAGAAGTTCACTCAGTATGGGGAGGAAGAAGTGATGTGGAGACGGGACGCGATTTATGAGAATTCTAAAAAATCTCCTACAACATGACGGGACGCGCACATGCACGGTAGGGTGGTGCAGAAGCGAGGCCTCAGCGCATGTGGCATTGAAGATAGCTGATGCACGGTGGGGAGGACAGTACAGAGCATTTTGAGGCAGCTTTAAACGAGGATTGTGCCAAAAAACCGACTTAGAGGGTGAAAAGTGGAGAACAGAGTGGGAAGAGGGAGGAGAGAGGCAAGCAGATAGTACTCGAGAAATGGGTGGGGTGATGGTTCTGTGGATTGAGAGAATGCTGACAGGGACGTGGGGATAAACAAGGGGGAATTACCCAGGGCAATTGGAGGTGGCAGGGGATACGCTGGCGAGATGCATGAAATGACAAATTAAAGAGTTACCCGGTTCAGAGCGAAAGACATGGCGATGGCGAGGCGAGTGACTATAAGGAGGCGCCTGAGAAAGCGAGATGCAATGCGTTGGAACGAGGACTCCGAGTCGGAGGTGTTAGACTTGGGTCGTCAGACCTCCGTCCGGGACTGCACCGGGACCTACTGAGTAGCAATTCGCGATCGGTAGCTTCGTGCGAGCTTCTAACACCGTGTGTGCACGAGTATACTACTCGCGCTCTGACTGGCAGCCTCCATCCCGGCAAGCCCTAGGAGAAGAATCTGCTGCTGGTAAGCAGGTGCGCAGCGTGAGGAGTCTATTTTTGAGGCGCCTCAAAAATATGCCCTAGGAGAAGAATCAGTTGCTGGTAAGCAGGTGCGCAGCGGAGGTGCGGAACAGTAGCACTGGCTCGGAAGGAGGAGCGGAAATGCAAGTACCAATGCGAGCAGAGGAGAGATGGCGGAAGACCACTGGCGAATGGGACGATGATTGACAGCACGGGACAGGGGAATTGCGCAACGTACAGAGCGACAGCGCGACAGGAGCCTGCTTCATAATAGCTGAGCTACAGTTGAGTTCCGAACCATGTTGTGGAATCTGGAATTCCGGCGAATGTCTCCTGCTGCGGATTCTTCGAGCTATGCTGGCGCAGCCACTCTACTTACTGGGCGCTGCAGGCCTTCGGCAATACCGAGGAACACACTGTTCTAGAATCAATGCTGTAACAATTGTATCAAACTTGACTCGATATGAAGTCAAAACTATTCAAAGAAAGCTCCTCCATGAAAGCCATGGCATTCCTAAACACGATTTCCCTACATTTCAATTTGCAAAAGAGCGTGTACTAAAACATACACCCCCCTCCATCCTCCCTCATGCCCATAGAATGCAAGTCTAGCACCCTTCAAGTTCAAGCCTTGAGTCATACAACCCCTCCAAAAGCCACATTCTCAACATCACCCTTCCCATAGTCCTCATCTCCTCATCTCATCCTCCCCATTAAACCATCCGCCTCCTCTCGCATGGCTGGCAGCATCATGAGGAGCCTAAAAAGTCAGACCTAGTTTCACCTGTCACTTTCTCCACTTCTCCCACTCCTCACCTCACCCTCCCCTCACACCTTGAGTCTGGGCAGCGATCTCAGCCCCTTCTCCTCAGCTGCCTGTGGGCCACGTGCTCCCCTGAGACCAACGGAAAGATTAGAACCACGTCGCCTACCCCCCCCCCTCCCCCCCCCCCCCCCCCCGCTCCCCTCAAACCTCGCCTGTGCCCATCTTCCCCCTCACACTTTAAAGTATGGGGCGCGATCTCAGCTCCCTTGCTCCAGCTGCTGGGGCGGCGTTTGCTCCCCCTGCCCCACCAACCGAGCAGGGATGCTCCCCTCCCTGGCTGCCGCTGCAAGGGCGAGCCCTTCACACCTTGAGTCTGGGTAGCGATCTCAGCCCCTGCTCCAACTGCCTGTGCGGCGCTTGCTCCCCCTGCCCCGCGCGCTCCGCCCCTCCGCGCGCCCCCGCGCCCCCCTGCTGCCTCTGCGCGGGGGGACAGATAGGCGCGCCCCCGGACCGGATGGGGAACGCGGACGGAGGATAGGCGGGGGGGCAACGCGGAGGGATAGGGGGGGGGAAGTCTGGCGCATGGGAGGGGTGGTATGAGGGGGGGAAGGGCGGGGTGTGTGAGCGGGTTTGCGCGGGCTTCTGGGGGGGGAGTGAGTGCGGATAACCGTTGGTGGGCAAGAGGTGGTGATGCTGCGATTGCTCCTGAAGTTGCTCCTGCTGATGCTGGTGCAGGTACTGCTGATGCTGGTAGCACTGCTGCTGGTAGCACTGCTGCTCATAGTACAGCTGCTGCTGCTGCTGCTGCTGCTGCTGTTGCTGTTGCTGGTGGTGATGCTGATAGTAACGGTGTTGATTTGCCTCTGAACCGTACCGCTCTGAACCGTACTGCTCCTGCCTCCGTGGGTACATGTTAGGCTGAGAGTGCGGCCGTGCAAGCATACCCCCGTGCGCAGGGTAACCCCCAAGACTACCCCCCTCGTGCGACAACTCGCGCGACTGGAACCGATTCCCGTGAGGATCACACCCGTTATAGTCACTGTCGCGCATCAGAACGGCCCCCTCGTGCCCGTCTAAGCTTCTGCGCCGCTCCGCATCTCGCGCCGTGTCACGCGGAGGCGCTGCGTCAGGGAAATCTACGAGCTGGGCGGCAGAAGCCCCGTCGGATCGCGATCTCGCGGGGGAAGGATGGCGGGCGCCAGATGCCAAGTGGCGCATTTCCCTCCGCTCGTCGCCGTGATTCGCGGGCGGCATCCGCGCCGTCGGTTCCGCCTCGGATCCGTCGGTTCGCACCGGCGCGCTTGCCGGGCGGGAGCCAGTGAGCGACGGCCGCGTGGCGCCGCCGGACGGACGCGATATGCGGTGCAGGCACGGCGGGTCCATCAGCGACTCGCCCTTGCGGATGGGGTCCGCTTCTTCCGCCTGTTGCGGAAAGACGGCGGCGAGTTGGAAAGAGAGTCAGGGAAAGAGGGAAGAGGGCGGAATGAGGGGGTTGGATGCGGTGCAGGCACGGCGGCGGGTGCATGAGCGAGGGGGAGAAGTGGGGAGGCGAGGGGAGGTGGGGGGGGGGGAGGGGGGGGGAAGGGAGGGAAGGGGAAGGGGAGATGCAACGAACGGGAAAAAAAAGAACGGAGGATTTAGGACAGCCTATCATGTCCCGCTCCGCCGTGATTTCCTAAGCTCCGTCGTATTCTCCTAGGGAATTTCCCCACCTTGAGTTTCTCCGGCGCGTGCGAGTCCAAGGCGATCAGAACGCCGCCGCACAGCGAGCCGTGCTTAGCGGTCCACTATGACCTGTTCCTACCGTAAGTATCTAGGGACGCTCCATACCTTGAGTTTTTCAGGCGCGTGCGAGTCGAAGGCGATCAGCACGCCGCCGCACAGCGAACCGCTGCACGCGGCGAGGCCGAAGCCCATCACCAGATAGTCCACCATCGCCATGCGACACGCGACGACTCGGCGACACGCGACAACTTGGCGACAACTGGGCGACAATTCGGGGACAGGCGAGAGGTGAGCGACGACACGTCTGTGTGCGACGACCGGGTACGCTTGCATGCGACGATATGAGTAAGCGAGGCGATAGGCGAAATTATGGCAGACGGATGTGGGCGTGGCTTACTTGTCTGTAATAGACAGGAACTGTCAGCTATACTAGGCAAGGTTTGTTACAAAAAATGCTGGTGAAGAAGCCAACGAATGAGTGTTTCAATCAGCCAAGTGAAACGTCAGCCAGAAATGGAGTTGGGGAGATGGGGAGGGAGGGAAAGGGGAGCTGGGTAGGATGGGCGGCGGGTAGGGTGGCTATGGTGGCTAGGGTTGCGCTTGCAAATTTGCGCGATGACGGTGCTTGCAGTTCTGGCGACGAGTTTTGCCCAGGGAGTAATTCACGAGGCACCCACGAGATTGTTGCGAAAAGCGTAACCAATTCCGGTTTGCACAACTCTGAGAGGGCTGAGAGGTACATAGGAGGGGGGAGAGGAGGAGCGGGGAGCGGTTGATGGCATTCCTGTGCGCTACGCGTGGTCCGTGGTGTACAGTAAATCGTAACCTCGTCTTGGTCACCCCGCGTGTCAGCCAAACCAGTCGCCAAGCCAATCTCCACCTACCACAACTAGCACGTCGCGTGAGTTCCCGCTAGGGGACTCGTTCGGCATTTGTCCGATTGCGAGTGGTCTAGTCGCCACGTCATTCAGGTCGAGCAGTGATGGGAGGACAGCTTCTGTCCCCGCATGCGCTCCGACTGCGGTTGACGAGATCAGCAGCAGCAACGCTCCGACAGGTGGCCTTGCTGGATTTGGACGGTAGCCATGCCTCTCAGTCAGGGATGCCTCACTGATAATGGGGTTTGAGGACGTGTTGTACAGCCATCTTCCATCTTCTAGCCACCTTTATGTAACTGCTACTCGGATAGTTTCGTGAGGCTTCGTGAATGACTTACGCGAGCAGACAAGGGAAACATGGCTCAGTAAAAACGAACTTTCGCAACAATTATTGGTTGGGAGACACGCGAAGATATCACTTGTTTTTGTCAAGTCTGGCTGATGATCTCGGAGAATTATGGGTCTGTAAACACGCCTTAAGACTGAAGTTTGGCGGTGGACGTTTGGCATGGCTTCCTCCATAACCTGTGCTCCATCAGTGGTTCGGTAGGGGAAGATTCTCCACGGAACAGACCAGACTTCTCGGTTCGGGATTCGGGAACGTCTGAGCATCTTCAATGTGGCTCAGGAGCAGTGGGGGCCCTGACTCGATCTGTGCGCTTTCACCTGAAACAAAGTGGTTGTGCATTGTGGTGAATCAAATAATCTACAATGACGAGTATGGTAATTTGCAATAACGGACTTTATGGACACGCTTTAAATGTATATCCTAAATAAATGAAGGCATCCCTCAGCGCGGACAGGGTGTATTGTTTCCATTCCATTCGCGACGTAATTTATGTCGCTTGCAGACCAGTTACCAGCACCTTGCGCGTCTCGCCAAACCTCGCCTCTGGCGGAAGGGAAAACCTCTCGCAGAATCTAACAGAGATTTTTGGATAGAGGGACGCTTCATATTAAGTGCCACACACTTCATAAAGTCACGCTTCCCTCAAAGTCACACTTATCCACTTTTCTCCCCCAACAAAACACACCTCTGGTCGACCGCCTTTTTCAGCGTAATTTCTTTCTGCTTCATTCTCCCGAGTTTGTGCTGCTGCTGGTTTTCTACTGAAGGCCTCGCCGATTCACGGCGTCGCCGTTATCGTCAACGTCGCCTGCCAGCCGATCGCATTCCGTGGCAGCAGGTGCGTAGAACCGTCGTCCGTCCACCATTCCGTTTTCACCGCCGTGAATGCCGTTGTCTCGCTGCTCGCCGCGCTTCAGATTTCCTTGCCAGAAAGGAGCAAATTTGACTTACATTTCCTAACCGCGTCCTCTCGCCATTTCACCATCCCCTTGCTAGCTCGCGAGCTAGGGCATCTCTTGGCTAGTTCGCGTGCTAAAGATCGCTGCGGTGACGCCATTCTAGCTAGGCTTTTGTCGATGTCGTGTCGCATCCACGCTCCGGCTTGCGGCTTGAGACGATCCGTTCTGATTCGTTTTCTTGAGGCACTCTCCTTTCAATCACGCTCTTCCCATTCACCTGCGTTGTACTCTCGCTCCTCCATTCACGCATCATTCACACGCCATCATTCTCCCATCATTCACACGCCATCATTCTCCCATCATTCACACGCCATCATTCTCCCATCATTCACACGCCATCAGTCTCCCATCATTCACACGCCATCATTCTCCCATCATTCACACGTCATCATTCTCCCATCATTCACACGCCATCATTCTCTCATCATTCACACGCCATCATTCTCCCATCATTCACACGCCATCATTCTCCCATCATTCACACGTCATCATTCTCCCATCATTCACACGTCATCATTCTCCCATCATTCACACGTCTTTCACTCATCATTCCCTCATTGTTCGCTCATCCTTCTCTCTGCCCACGCTAACCCAACGCTTCCTGGCCACGTGTCATCTCGTCCTCCCATGTCCTCCTCTCTTGCCACGTGGCGCAGCTTGACTAGCTGACATGGCGCTCCCAGCAGCGGTCAACGCCAGCGCAGTGCTCCTTCCTGCTGCTGCTGCCGCCACGTGGCAGCACGCCAGCGTGGCGTCAGCGCCGAGCAACACTCGGATGATCCCCGCCGCATCCGCGTTTTCTACTAATGGACCTTTTTCCCGGGGGGAACGGAGGGGAAGCATTTTGAGGGGGAGAAAAGATCCGATTTCGGGGCGGCTAGTAGGGGCGGCAGGGGAATGCGGATGGGGTAGGGGTCGGGGCGGGAGGTCGGTGCGTGTGCGGGCGGACGGGGGGACAGCGGCGACGGAGACGACAGCTGGCAGCAGTGGATTCATGGAGCGGAGGGAGGAGGAGATAGCTGCGGTGAGTGGGACAAAAAGGAAAACCTCAACCCCCCCTGTCCCTGCCACGCACATAACCCTTTTCAATCCATTCTCCTCCGTCCGTTCATTCTCCTCCGTCCGTCCAGTCTCCTCGTCAACGAAACCCCCTCTCTCCTCCCTTCCCCCTCAACTTCACTAACTTCCCTTCCCACTTACCCTCATACGCCCTTCCCCTGCCCACACTCTGTAGTATCCCTCCGTTGTTCACCAAATCTCCTCCTCTCTCGCTCCCTGTCTACCAAATCTCATCCTCTCTCGCTCTCTGTATCCCTCACCCCCACCCCCACCCCACCCCCACCCCCCCATCCCCTCACTCTAGCTCGGAAGCACTCCTTCGTCTCTCACCGTGGAAGGGTATGGCAGGGACGATGCCTTTTGAGGCGTCTCAAAAGTCGTCTGTCCCCGTGGAAGGGTGTGGCAGGGACGATGCCTTTTGAGGCGTCTCAAAAGTCGTCTGTCCCCGTGGAAGGGTGTGGCAGGGACGATGCCGCCATGTTGCAGTGGTTCCTCCATCCACCTTCTTCCCCTTCTCCTTCCCCATCCTTCCTTCTTCCACCATACCCTCGTCTCCCCCACTCCCCACTATCTCGGGGAGGAGGTGAAGTCCGTCTTGGCTCCAGAGCACTGCTCTCTCCCCGTGGGGGGTATGGGAGTGGTTTCGCTGTCCACCCTCTTTTCCCCCTTTCCTTCCCCCCATCCCCTCACTCTAGCTCGTGGAGGAGGTGAAGTGAGGTCCGACTTGGCTCCAGAGCACTCCTCTCTCCCCGTGAGGAGGTATGGGGCAGGGACGATGGCGCCGTGCTTAGGTGGTTCCGCACCCGATACTGTATCCCTTCTCCTCTTGAGGCGCCTCAAAAGCAAAAGCAGTCTCAGTTTTTGAGGCGCCTCAAAATGGGTCAGGGACGATGGCGCCATGCTCAGGTGGTCCCTCAGCCGATACTATCTATCTCCCTTCTCCTTCCCTGTCCTCTCTTCTTCCAATCCCCACACTAGAGGGTGGAGGAAGTCAAGGCCATCTTGGCTCGCGTCGGGGAGTACAGCCGGGACGATGACGCCATGCGGCGATGGTTCCTCAAGGGGCCGCCCCTCTTGCCCTCCTTTATCCCCCCCAACCATCACACGGTGGAAGGTCAAGTCCTCACTCCACTCTCTACCATCATCCTGTCCCCATCCCCCCCAACCATCAGATGGTGGAGGAAGTCATGTCCATCTTGGCTCGCGACCACCCCTCCCTCCCCGTGGGCGAGTACGGCCGGGACGATGACACCATGCTGCGATGGTTCCTCAAGGACCGCAAGTACAAAGTCGAACCCACTGTTGAGAAGCTCGCTAAAGCCATTGTGAGTGAGACATATTGGGCTGGGGCTGCTGAGAAGCTCGCTAAAGCCATTGTGAGTGAGACATATTGGGCTGGGGCTGCTGAGAAGCTCGCCAAGCCCATTGTGAGTGAGACATATTGGGGTGGGGCTTCTGAGAAGCTCGCCAAACCCATTGTGAGTGAGACATATTGGGCTGGGGCTGCTGAGAAGCTCGCCAAGCCCATTGTGAGTGAGACATATTGGGGTGGGGCTGCTGAGAAGCTCGCCAAGCCCATTGCTGCGGTGGTTCCTCGAGGGCCGAATGTTGCTAGTGACTCTCGTTGCAGCAGCTGCAGCAGCCATGCTGCGGTGGTTCCTCAATCAGGGACTGCAAATACAAAGTGGAGCCGACAGTGGAGAAACTCGCAAGTACAAAGTGGAGCCGACAGTGGAGAAACTCGCTAAGGCGATTGCCAGTGAACAGATAGTGGCCTGGGCAACGACTCTCGTCTCAAGTGACGCTGTGCTGCTGTGCCACTGTGCCGTTGTGCCACTGTACCGCTGTGCCACTGTGCCACTGTGCTGCTGTGCCGCTGTGCCACTGTGCCTCTATGCCACTGTGCCACTGTGCCGCTGTGCCACTGTGCCATGCTTCGGTGGTGAGTGATGTGGTTTCTCCACTGTGCCATGCCTGGCTCCACTGTGCCATGCTGCACTGGCCCTCCCAGACCGGAAGTACATCAGCGGAACCAAATCAACAGTGGAGACTCTCGTCAGGGCCCTTGTGAGTGAAGGTTTATTTTGAGGTTTTTTTAGACGTCTCAAGATATCCCTTCTATCAGTGGCGAAACCCGCCAGTGAAATAGAATGGTCCGTGATGCGCGCTCGACACAAACAATGCTCGGGTGGTTCTCCTCTCAGTCCTCTCAAGGACCGCAAGGACAAAGAGGAACCCACAGTTGAGAAACTCGTTAAGGCCATAATGAATTCTAGACCGCTTTGGTCCCCTTTGTGGCTCCTTGCGTGAAATTCCGCCACGAGACGAGATTAAGCATTAAGTTGTGGAGACCGATAATTCCCATCGCCCCTTCCCCATTGCCTCCTTTGAGTCACGCCCCTCTGCTCTCCCCTTGCTCCCCCCACCCACGTGTAACAATAAGAAATGGCGCTTTCAGTTGACTTTTGAGTGGACTCAAAAGTCACCTCTGCTCTCCCCTTTTTCCCCTCACCCATGTATAACAATAAGAAATGGCGCCATGAGTTGAATTTTGAGTCACCTCTGCTCTCCCCTGGCTCCCCTCACTCACGTATAACAATAAAGAAATGGCGCCATGGGCTTCGGATGGCTGAACTGGCCGCAGTGCAGCAGATGGCAAGCTTAACTCCAGAGAGAGTGCTTCTCAATAGAAAACGGCTATTAGAGCAGCATCTAATAGTGCTTCCTTTTCCAACCCTTCATTTTCTAACCCCCTTTGCCTCTCCCCAAAACCTCGTCCTACTCCCTCTCCCCCTCCCCTGCCCCGCTCATCCATTTTTGAGGCGCCTAAAAAATACTCTCTCCCCCTCTCCCCCTCTCCCCCACCTCTGCCCCGCTCATCCTTATCAGAAATGGCGCCACGAGTTTGGCGTGGCGGCGCTGACAGCTGCTGACGTGGCAGAGGAGGGTGCCACGGGGAAGGCGTTCCTTCACGAGCACGCTGACGTGGATGGGCGACCCGTAATCGTCGTCGTGGCGGCGAAGCATTTCCCCGATGTATGCATGTGTGTGACGTGGCTTCACCATGTGTGTGACGTGGCTTCACCATGTGTGTGACGTGGCTTCACCATGTGTGTGACGTGGCCTATGTTGGAAAATACGCGTACTGCGTTTTATACGCTAGCGTATATACGCTTGCGTATATACGCTATACGCTTGGATTTGGGGTCCAATACGGCAGGAATACGCATGCCCGGGCAGGAAAAAAGGTTTGCCCGGGCAGGGTAACAAAACCAGGGGGCAGCAAGGAAGCCATGATGGTAGCGGCTAGGCTAGGGTTTCTGAAAACGTGACTCTCAAATGAGAGGCATTTTCTGAGGGGTCGAATTTTGACCTGCCAATTCCCTCCCTTTCACCGCACTCAACCCCCCCGTCTACAAAGTCAAATTGGCTTCCAGCCAACCAACTCCCTCCCTTTCACCGCACTGAACTCCCACCCATCTACAAACTCCAACCTTTCCTCACAAATGCTCGACTCTCCCCCCCATCATCTCCCCCATCACTTTGGTAGAAGACTAACAAGCACCGTAACTCGCGCAATCGCCGCCACCTAGCTAAGCACACCACCGTTTCGCTTCAGAGCTGAGATTTGGACGGAAATGGGGAACGGCAAACACGGGATGGCTTTCAATCACGTACAGAGCAGGCTGGGCTATGGGCAAAAAAGAATGGGCGAAAAAACCGCGACGTCGCGAAGTCGCGGAAAAAAAAAATATAAGTTTTTTTTTTCGCCGGGCAGCCCGGGTATCGCGTATCGCGTATTCCAAGCGTATCAGCGTATTGCGTATATTCGCAAGCGTATATACGCAATACGCAAAGCCTTCTGTGCGTATATTCCAACATAGGACGTGGCTTCACCATGTGTGTGACGTGGCTTCACCATGTGTGTGACGTGGCTTCACCATGTGTGTGACGTGGCTTCACCATGTGTGTGACGTGGCTTTACCATGTGTGTGACGTGGCTTTACCATGTGTGTGACGTGACTTCACTATGTGTGTGACGTGGCTTTACCATGTGTGTGACGTGGCGTCACCATGTGTGTGACTGAGGCTGCTGCATGCTGCATCAGGGGAATGCTTGACATCAAGCTTGGCACGCATGTTATGGCACTGTACCTGGCACACTACTGTATGTGTCTTGTGTGTGCTTGCTTACCTGTGCACGGCCGGTGATTGTTGTCGTGGCAGGAAGGCATTCTCCCCCGGTATGTGTCGGGAAAGCCGCTGGACATCGGAAAGTCCAGCGGGTTTACTGTAGCTCTGCTGCACACTTCACTATCTTCGTCCCTCCCCCCTCCAACCACCCCTCTCTCCCCCCTCTCCCCCCTTCCCCCCACCCACTCCCCCCTCCCCTGACTAATTCCCCCTCCTAGTCCTCTCGCCTGGTGTACAGCCAGCAGCTGTGCTACCATCTGATCGTCGTCAGCCATGACAGAGATGAGCAGCAGTGGAATCGATAGCAAAGAGATTGACAGTAAAAACACAAGTTGCCCCTGCAGCTCACCCAGCTCTATGGCTGAAGTGAAGCAGCTGTTCAGCCATCAGACCAGGTCTCTCCCCCCCTCCCCGTTGACTGATCCCCCCCCCCCCCCTCAGTCATCACGCCTGGTGCACAGCCAGCAGCCAGCAGCCAGCAGCCAGCAGCTGTGCTGCCATCTGATGGACCCCAGTGAAATGGCTTCAGCTCTTTAACTGTTGCCCCAACCACCCCCCCCCTCGGCACCCCCTCTCGTCACCCCCTCTCGTCACCCCCCCTCGTCACCCCCCCTCGTCACCCCCCCTCGTCACCCCCCCTCCTCAACCCCCCTCCTCAACCCCCTTTCCTCTCGCCTGGCGTACAGCCAGCAGGTGTGCTCATATTTAATCGAGAGGGCGATCGAGCGACTTGTCGTCCCCCTCCCCCCCACTCCTCCACCACCCCCTCCCCCCCTCCCTTTCCCCAAACCACCAAACCCCCCCCCCCGTCCCCCCCCCACCCCCCGGATGTTATTTCCCCCTCCCAGTCATCTCGCCTGGTGTACAGCCAGCAGCTGTGCTCGTATTTAATCGAGAGGGCGATCGAGCGGCTGCCTGAAGGCACGGAGCAGTTCCGGGGGATATTCGATTTGAGGGGCTTCACTGCTAAGAACACTGATCTCGCGTTTGTTGGGTTTATGGTGAGTGTGCTGGAGGAGGGAGGGAGGATGGGTGGGTGGGGGGGGTGGGGGTGGGTTGAGAGTATGCCTACCTTGTTGGGAGTTTGCCTACCTTGTTGGGAGTATGCCTACCTTGTTGGGAGTTTGCCTACCTTGTTGGGAGTTCGCCAACCTTGATGAAAGAAAAATTGATGGCTGCCTGAAGGCACGGAGCAGTTTTTTAGGGATATTTGATTGGGTTTTACTGCTAAGAACGCCGTTGGAAAGTATGGTTATGCTGCAGAGTTTTCTTATTATGTGTGTATTTTCTTAACCATTCTAGTACACTTACTGCATGATTCCTGCAACTACTAACCTGGCATCAAATAATATGCACTCAAAGACCGCAACGGCTTATTATAATAGTTTCAATGTATATCTGCAGTTGTGATGTACTTGTCTTTCCTTGTTGTCCCTCCTCTTGCCCCTTCACCCTGTCTCATCCTCTCTCCCCATCCCCCCCTTTCACCCTTCCCCCATGCCCCCTTTCACTCTTCCCCCATTCCCCCCTTTCACCCTTTCCCCATGCCCCCCCTTTCCTCCTGCCCCCATGCCCCCTTTCACCCTTTCCCCATGCTCCTCGCCCTCTCCCCACAACCAACTGGCACAGATCGATGTGTTCTTCAACTACTATCCCAAGAGATTGCACCAGGTATGCGAACAGTAGGAGGGATGGTAGCAGCAGGTGGCAGGAAGCGGGATGGGAGCAGCAGGAGTGGCAGCACTAGGTGCGGCAGCACTTGGCGTGGCAGCACTAGGTGCGGCAGCACTAGGTGCGGCAGCAAGTATTTGTGTGAAGCCAACTGGCACAGATCGATGTGTTATTCCAGGTGCCCTTTGTTTACACTCCATTCCTCTTACCACGCTCGCCTCACATTTCCCCTTTCTCCTCACATTTCGCCTCTCTCCTCACACTTCCCCTTTCTCCTCACATCTCCACACATATCCTCTAAACAAACCCAAATCCCCCCAAGTTCTCTTTGTTGTCCTAGGGGAATTTTGAGTTGACTTAAAGCCATTTCCTCCCTTGACCTCTGAACAAACTCGTGTTCCCCCAGGTTCTCTTCGTTGATGCACCATTCATCTTTCAACCTGGCTGGAAGGTTATGAAGCCTCTTCTCAAATCATATGCCGACCTGGTGAGTGTTGTCGTTTCCTGTGTTCCTTCATTCAAACATGTAGCACGAGAAGAAGACGTTTGGTGTTGCCCTATGTTTTGCTCATGTTTCAACCATTTGAAATCTAGTTTTAGAACCAGAAGTCATTGGGCAAGTTGCCTGAAAATCTGGTTGATTTGTCTCTTCCCCCGTCTCGGTTTACGCAGGTTGTCTTCTGCAAGGCTGAGGAGGTCAGAGACAAGTATTTTCAACCTGGTCAAGCACCTGGGTCATTTTTTTGAAGACTTTCTGTTTGCTGAGTGTAATGCCTTGTTTGCATTCATAGTGCATTGCAACTCTCTAGGATTCTACTCCAGCTAAGCAAGAGGAGAGCTCATGGATTGCCACTATGATATTCTGAAATATAAAACCTCGTCAGACGAAACCCATACAATACAATCTCAACGGATGAATAGACGTGCTTGCAGTAGGAAATATATTCGATTCGTCCCATGAAATATACAGACCAGCTTGGACCTAACTTGTTCTGGAGCTGTTCTGCGGCCTGCACTTAGCTGAGTGCTGCAACTGCAGTCCCCTCCTCGCATTCCGAATATCCCAGCAGCCTTCCGGCAACTAGCAGTCTTCTCACATGAAGTTTTGAACACGCCCCAGCCAGGGAAAACCCCTTATTGCTGCGTCTTGCTGTGGAGGATTTGCTAGGAAATTAGGAAGGTAGGTGTCGCTTAGGGAGCATTCGCAGCGCCATGTTCCGACAAGACTGAGCGGCTATTCGCGTCGACTTCTGAATTACCGCGAGTGGCGACGTGAGGGGTGAGGTAACACGTGGCGACGAGTTTCGCGGCGGCGATTGAGATTCGTCGCCATGATTGGGTAGAGCTATTGCACTTGGCCGACTGACGACACCCCTCACCCACGGATGATTCAAAACCGCATCGACGGCGGGACGGGATCGAGGATCTTCAGACAGCATCGAACGGATGAGATTCTTTGCGGGATCCGAAATTTCGGACCAGCAGGGGAGGTCCCAATCGTCGTTTGATTGCCGTCCGCGAATAACAGTCGGCCATGCTCCCGCCAGCATGGAATACAGAGTAACCCCAAGGCTCCAAATGTCTGCGGAAAAATCGTATTTATTTCTCGCGAGCACCTCGGGAGCAACGTACGGGAGGCTTCCGACGCACGCCTGCGCTTTCTGACCTGGCCCGAGGACTATCGATGCGCCGAAATCGGACAGCTTAGCCGTGTATGCCGCGAAAGTCGCCTCATGAAGCGCGGACGTTGTTCCTTGGTGTAACGATGACACAGCATCTTCGCTCGATACTGCTTCAGTGAAATTTAAAATTCCGTTCCGCATATCACGTCTCGCCTCATCGGGTGATGGAAGCATGGATCTCCTTTCAAAGAGCAGGATATTATCCGGCTTGATATCGCGATGCATCACCCCTCTCTCATGACACTGCTTCACGCCTGAAATGATGTCGCGGAAGAGGATTCTCGCCTCCCATTCCGGCAGCCGTCCTTTCGCATTGATGTGTGTTACCAGATCGCCGCCTGTCGCGAGCTCGGAAAGCAAAATTAGGGTTTCGGTCTGGGGGTCGTGGAAGAGTCCTTGGATGTGGACCACGTTGGGACAGCCTTGAAGCGTTGAGAGCGCGCCGATTTCTCGCAAGGCGGAATCCATGGCTCCCTTGCCGACGGCTCGTTTACAGGCGAACTCGTTATTGCCTTGTCGCTCCTGGCATCGCCACACGGAGCCGAACTTGCCGGTTCCCAGCTTCTCTTTGGGTTCGTACTCGAAGCAGAAGTCGCTGAGTGGTCGAATTAGCGACAACATGCTGTCAGGTGAGGATTTCAGGAGCCAGAAAATTTCTTGCTGCGCAAGTTCTGATGCCTGCCTGAAACGGTCAATTGAGCAGACAGAACTGCTTGTGGAGGGGTAAGAGGTGGATTCCTATTATATTCACGGGTTTCTGGGCCACTGGCTCAAGAAACGTTGCTCGCAGGTTTGACATGAACGTGTCCATCACTTGTACACATGTAGACTGACAGAAGGAAAGGGGGAGGGGGGAGTTTTTGCGTGCCAGCGACGCCCAGTAACCCGGCTCGAGGAGCAAGATCAGGCAGATGTGGCTGCAGAGAAAGGAAGGGGGAAGGGTATTTGCCGCGTTGTTGTGAGGGAATCACAGGTGGAGCCGGGTGGGTGGGGGGAGGAACGAGGAAGGGAAGGAGATGCACCTCGTGGGGCTGGGTGGGAGGCATGACTTTTGTGGACCGCAAAAGACTTGCGTGAGGGCCCTTACAAATCTCGAGCGAGCCTGGCTGGGGCGAAAACGCTCCAATATAGTCTCATACGAGTAAAGTGAGGGCGTGGTACTTGGCCAAATCTGGGTTGCATAACCTGGCCAAGTTGCGCAACTCGCGAAAGTAATGGTTTTCGTGAATACTCGTCAAACAAGCTGGCGAACAGACTGAGAGAGATGTGCAACTCGGGTTGCGCAACTCTCAATTTTTGCTTGCTTCGCACCGGTACGCGCGAAAGCAGCAAATCGAAATGCGAAATGGGATTTCGCTCCAGAAATATGGTAACGGTTTCGTGTTCCATTTCGGGCACTTCGCATTCTTCGAGCGCAACCCGATGTTCCAGATGAGTTGCGATTCCCACCCGAAAAGCGCAATCCGAGGTTCATACGGATTGCGCTCGCCAGGACGAATTTCGCGAACTGCGCTCCCGAGTTGCGCAACTTGGGCATGTTTTGCCCAAGTACCACACCCTAAGACACGAATGTTTTCACCCATGTGATGTTCAGAGGGACTGCAACCCATACCCTGCATAATGACCTCATGGTCAAGCATCATTCATTCGGTTCTTTGTCGTATTTTCAACAGTTTTTTAGCACCATTATATATATATATATATATATATAGCAAAAGACGAGAAATTGGACTAAATTGTCATGAGTAGGGGGCAAAATGCTCTCTTATCGTTTTGCACTCATCTAGCTTCCTCCCCACTCCAACCCAGCCCAGTGCCTCCTGATCAATGATGGCTTGTGGTTCGGTCTTGTTTTTGATTTTTCTTGTTGAGAAGTTGAGAATAATAGATAAGGGATACCAGTACAGTACTATTTATCTTATATCACTCTCTTATAAAGGCGCCTGAAGAACACCCAAAAACATCACTACCTCAGAGGTGTTCTTGAGGCGGCTCTACAATGTGTTACGGTGCGATGGCTATTTCTCCCTTACAGTCCAATACATAGAGCTGGTCATGGTTTTGTCACGTTCGCAGCAGTCCCATGAGAATCGACCTCGGCCACAGCAGCAACTGCCATGTCAGCAACACGGGCACTGAGTCTCGCAGAAGCTCCTGAGAAGGACGACCTCTGGGACTTGCTGCTGCGCCGTGAAAGCGAGCTGTTGCACGGGGAGAGCTTGTTTGTGCAGCATGCACCGTGGCGCCGCCACTGCTTCCGCTTCAGCACGTCTGACGCGAGCTTGCGGCAGGTCTTGACCGTGCGGCACGTGGTTTTGATCGTGAGCGTCGCAAGAGGAAACATGAAGGCAGAGGAGGAGGGATCATCAACCACACTCCTAGGGGACGCAGCAGGCTCAAGGGCACAAGCAGCAGCAGCAGCAGGAGGGTTGAAAGCAGGTGGCTTGATGGCGCCTCTAGGAGAGGTGGAGGAGGAAGAAAACAAGGAAGAGGCGCCGCAGACCCAAGGGTTTGCCAGAACCTCGTCAATGGACGGTCGGATCTTCGGATCTGTCGTGAGCATTGAACGGATGAGATCCTTCGCTCGGCTTGAGGTGATCCACCAGCAGGGGGCGTCCCAATCCTTGCTTTCGTCAAACGATCGGCGACCGTTCGCGAAAGTCGGCCACTTCCCCGACAGCATGGCGTACAGGGTTACTCCAAGGCTCCATATGTCCGCAGAGAAGTCGTACGATTTTCCCGCCAAAACCTCGGGAGCCTCGTATGGGAAGCTCCCTGCATAGCCGTCGATCTTCTCCCCCGGTGCAAGCATCTTCGCAATGCCGAAATCCGCGAGTTTGGTGGTGAACCCGCAACCGCGTCCCATGTTGTCCCCTCTTAGGGATAACCGGGGAGAAGGACTGGGTGAGTCTTCGGAGGAGACTCGCATTAGAAGCGAGGTTTTGGGGGGAAATAAGAGGACGTTGTCAGGCTTAACGTCGCGATGAATGACCCCGTTAGCGTGGCACTGCTTTAAAGCCATGGCGACTCCTTTGAACAGCTCACGCGCCTCGTACTCCGGAATCCGTCCCTTCTGCTCTATCCGCGATAGAAGATCCCCGCCGCTTGCGAGCTCCATTACAAGCACCATCCCCTTCCCACCCTCCCCAATATAAACATCCTCGATAGTAACGATATTTTCGCAGCCCTTCAGCAGAGAAAGAGCCGCTACTTCGCGCTCCGCTGCATCCAGGGCTTGTTTGCGCGCCGCGACAACCTTGCAGGCGAGTCGCCTGCCGGAAATCCGCTCCGCGCATTCCGCGACAACGCCGTACTGTCCCTTTCCCAAATCCTCCCTGACTTCGTACTTCTCGGCGAAGGCGCTAAGGGAGCGCTGAGCCATGGCTGGATTGAATAAGGATACCTGAAAAACGCTGTCGCTTGGTATACAGATTTAGCCGTTTGGTATACAGATTTCTATCGCGGTATTTGTAGACTTGTGTATTGTGGGAGTTCGAGCACTAGTACGGGATTGGAGATAGGTGGAAGCTGTAGGCCCTTTGGCAAATGCCGTGCTCTGGAGACTGAATTGAACTTTGGATCAGGCTGACGATTACAGTTCCAGACGACGCCATAAGTACTACTCGGTAGTCCTACGAAGCGGAGTACAATCGCCATGGCGTGACGCGGCTGGTTTGCCCTAACAGACCAGAATAGGAGTTTCCTAGTAGGCCCTGGCTGGCCTGGCACCCGCTCACCTCGAGATTGCCGATACAGTACGTTGAGGCCATCTGCCAAGAGTGCACATCTACGATACGTAAAACATGGTTTCGTAGGTTTGAGTACGTTTGAGTACGGTGAATGGGTTTCATACTCTTGGTTGGGTCAACCGTCTCCAGTTCCACTGTCGTGAAATTTTCTTCCAGTCGCCCCCTCTGCCCCACAAACCCCCTTCCCTGCCGTCGAGAGAGCTCCGTCTTTTCTGAAATTGCCCTGCCAGGAAGGAGGCATCGACCGGCAGGAGTTGCCTGGGATATGCACGTTCAGTACCTGGCTCAGTCAGCGGCGACTGGGGCTTCCGTCAGGTTTGACGACGTTGGTTTGTTTGGCACTGGCGACAAGCGTTTGCGAACTGGATGGTTACTGTACCAAGGAGTCGTGATGCCCGGTCCGGTCAAATTCACCGAAAATTGTTGACCGACGCTGTCAGGCGGATCGTCCGCGTTTTTCTCCCTTCCTGATTTGCTCGACTCGAAGCAGCGGGATGGATAGTGGCCGGATAATCCATTGTTAAGACATTCGTTATTGGATAGGGAATATTGGTTGGTGCATAAGTTCTATGCAGTATTTCGAAATCTTGTAGCTTTAGTGCATACGTCGAAGGCCGTTCGCTAGAGTCACTCATCTCTTCAACTTTCGTCACTCAGCCTTGCCTTCTTCCTCTTTTCCCTCCATTTCCTTCAGCTGCTAAGGGTCTGCTTTAGGTCTTAAGACTTCTTCCCCTAGAAGCTCGCTACGCGTGTTACAATCTATATTCTGTTTCGCGTGTAGCGCGAACGTCGCAATCCCTAATCATGGAGGCCGCCATTGCGTGCACGACGAGCAGCGCTCTCAGCCCGTTAGTACGCGGCGCTCCATCAAGCGCGACCCGACGATCCTTCTTAAAGGGATCAGCTCGGAATGAGGTGTCGCGAGGCGCATTCTTCGGGGAAAGTTCAGGCCTTGATGCCGGACATCGACCGCTCCGAACCACGCCGAACCGAAGGAGCCTAAGTACGACTCTTGAGACCATTCTATTCATTACTCCCCCGATCCTCAGTTCCTAGTTCCATTTCTTGATTCTTCTTGAGCGTACGCGTCGCGCTGTTTCTACCTTCTGAAGATAAGCTTATTGTCTATTACTCCTCTCTGTCGCCATCGTCGGCATTCTCAGCTGTCCGTGCGGCGGGTAACACTTTTGGCACGGCATTTCGGGTTACCACATTCGGCGAATCCCACGGCGGAGGGGTGGGCTGCGTCGTCGATGGCTGCCCTCCGCGCCTGCCGCTCACAGAGAAGGACCTCCAGGTCGACCTGGACAGGCGGTACGTGCGACTGGGATAGCCCGTCGTAGTCTCAATAGATTTTTAGTCTCAAAGCACGCCTGCCGCTCACAGAGAAGAAGGGCTTCCAGGTCGACCTGGACAGGCGGTACGTGCTGCTGGGAAATGGTGAATCTTCAATGCACGCCATGGGACATGCTCCGACCACGCCTAACTCGGTTGCGCCTACTCCTCACAGAGATGGGCCTCCATGTCGACCTGGACAGGCGGTACGTGCTGCTGGGAAAGGGTGAATCTTCAATGCACGCCATGGGACATGCTCCGAACACGCCTAACTCGGTTGCGCCTACCCCTCACAGAGAATGCCACCAGGTCGACCAGGTCGACCTGGACAGGCGGTACGCGATGCTGCGACGGCTTCGAAACACGCCCTAGGAGTGCCACAGTAAACTCCCTGTAATACCCATACGCTAGAAGCATAACTGTTGCTCCTCAGAGACGCGGACCTTCAGGTCGATCTGGACAGGTGGTATGTGACGCTGGGTTAGCCCGTAAACGACCTCAAAACACCCCTTCAAAGCACGCCTGTTTGCTTCTGAAGGAGACGGGGAATGTAGGTTGACCTGGACAGGCGATGTGTGATCATCTCCAGTCAATTGGGTAGCAAGCAAGCAGGATCCCGACAGCAATTGGGTAGCAGTATCCTGATTCCCGACAGGAAGGTTGCCAATGATGGCAAACGATAGCCGCCATCAACCTCTTCGCATCTCAAGTTTGACTCTTCTCTTTCCCCCCCCCCCCCCCCTCTTCCCCCGTTGCACTCCCCTTCCCTCCCTTACAGTCTCGGACCACCTCCCCTCACAAGGAAACTAACACATGCCGGACCTAAGTCATATTCATTCCAAGCTGTCTCCCCCAGCACTTCCTTTTCCTCTCCCCCTTCCTCTTCCCTCCCTTACAGTCGCCCGGGCCAGTCTCGCATCACCACCCCTCGCAAGGAGACGGACACATGCCGGATTCTATCAGGCACCGCTGAAGGTACAGCCATTGCTCGTAGTGTTGCGCGGCAGTGCTTGACTCGGAGATTCTTTTTTGCTCTTTCCCTCCACCTCTTCCTCTTTTATCGCCCATCACTTCCCCGTGTCCCCCCTGTCTCTTCGATCTCTTACCCGTGTCTCTTCGATCGCTTACCTGTGTCTCGTCCGTCTTTTCCCCATGCATCGTATGCAGGGGTGACACTTGGAACGCCTATTGCCGTTCTCGTGCCCAACCAGGACCAGAGGGGAGGGGTGAGTTAAGATTTTGAAGCAGGGAGGGTTGAGTTAGTATTTGAAGACAGGGGTGGCGTGACGCGACACTTGGAACGCCTATTGCCGTTCTCGTGCCCAACCAGGACCAGAGGGGAGGGATGAGTGGAAGAGAAGGACAGAGGGGGGAGGGATGAGTGAAAGAGAAGGACAGAGGGGGGAGGGACGAGTGAAAGAGAAGGACAGAGGGGGGAGGGATGAGTGAAAAAGAAGGACAGAGGGGGGAGGGATGAGTGAAAGAGAAGGACAGAGGGGGGAAGGATGAGTGAAAGAGAAGGACAGAGGGGGGAAGGATGAGTGAAAGAGAATGACAGGGGGAAGGGGTGAGTAGAAGAGAAGGACAGAGTGGGGAGGGATGAGTGAAAGAGAAGGACAGAGGGGGGAGGGATGAGTGAAAGAGAAGGACAGAGGGGGGAGGGATGAGTGAAAGAGAAGGGGGAGGGATGAGTGGAAGCAGCACATGTCCCAGGGGGGCAGTTCTAGTGCGACAGGGAGATCGAGATTTGAAGGGGAAAGGGTGATTGGATGAGGTTGGAAGGGCCTCGTTTCCTCCATTCCGTACTGTTTCTGCACCATCAATCAAATCAATCTCATCCAGATCTTTCCCCCAGCCAACCCTCCCTTACAGGACGATTCTGGGATTGCAGTGGCTTACCGTCCGTCTCACACCGTCACTCTCCTCTTCGCCCCTCCCCCCTCCTCAGACCCTCTTACCGCCTTCTTCTCCCCGCTTCCCCCCCTAACACCCTCTTTTTACACCATCTCTTCCCCCCTCTTTCTTCCCCAACTTCCCATCAGGATTACTCTGAGATTGCAGTGGCCTACCGCCCGTCTCACGCGGATGCTACTTACGACTTCAAATATGGCGTGCGAGCCATCCAGGTGAGAAGAAACCTGTCGTGAAAACTATTTAAGTGATGGGTGCAGTGCAACAAGCCTGCAGTACCCCATCGCCATGACTTTTGAGTCGACTAAAAAACCTGCAGTAAGTACCCCATCGCTACCCTGCGTGATAACGGTGGCTTACCCCCTCCCTTCCATTCCCCTGCTGAACCATGACTAAAAACGTAGCCTCCCTCCATTCCCCTTCTTCCAAATCCCTAGGTCATCATCATCCTGATTCTTGTCGATTCTGGAACACCCCCGCACGCTCTCCCGCCACGCCACACATCCCTCCCGCCCACCCTTTCTGTTTTCCGGACACTTATCAGGGCAGAGGGGGGAAAGAACGGGGTGCGGTTCGGTCATCAGCCCCTTTTTCCCCTCTCCAAACATCCCCCCCTTCTTCTCCCCGCCCCTTTCCCCCCAACCCCCTTCCCCCCCCCCCCCCCCCCCCCCCCTTTTCTCCCGCTGAAGCATACCAGGGCGGGGGTCGGTCCTCAGCTCGTGAGACCATTGGCCGCTTTTGACACACCTCAATATGCCTTCCTCCCCCCACCCCCCCTCCCCCATCCCCCGCTTCCTTTCCCCCCCCCTCTCCTGTTCCTTTGTCTTCTGCACATCAGGGCGGGCGGGGGTCAGTCCTCAGCTCGTGAGACCATTGGACGCATTTACACTCCTCTATGCCCTCCTCCCCTTAACTCCCCCCTCCCCCCTCCCCCGCTTCCTTTCCCCCCGTCTCCCGTTCCGTTGTCTTGCGCACATCAGGGCGGGGGGCGGTCCTCAGCTCGTGAGACCATTGGCCGTGTGGCTGCTGGCGCAATTGCCAAGAAGCTTCTGGCTCTCCACTCAGGGACTGACGTAAGCTACATTCCTTCTCAGTTCCCTCTTGCCTGTCTTCTAAGCTCAAATTATGTCTGACGGACTGTTATGATCACCTGGCTGCTGGCACGCATTCCTTTTCCCTTCCCTCTTACCTGTCTAAGTCAAAGAAATGACCGATGACTGTTATGATCATCTGGCACGTATGCCTTGGTCTTAGCCATCCCCTGCATTTTCTTATGAATATCAAGAAGGACGCGCATTGTTAATTGCACGAACTCTTATATCCCCCCCCACCCCCCTTCCCCCCCCCCCACCCCCCCCTTTCTCCTCCCCTTTTCTCCCCCCCCCCCCTTTCTCCCCCTCCCCTTTCTCCCCCTCCCATTTCTCCCCCTCCCCTCCTTCCCCTTCCCCCTTTTCCCTTCCCCCTTCCTTCCCCCCCCAGGTGCTCGCCTTTGTCTCTCAAGTGCACAACGTTGACCTGCCAGAGGATGCCATCGACCTCGATACAGTCTCACTGGACCAGGTGGGGTTTGGGCAAATGGGCACATCTCATTTGGTACACACATGTGACTAGTTTGCATGGGCAACAGCTTGACGTGCGACTGCCAGGGGATGCCATGCCATTGACCTCGGTACAGTCTCGCTGGTCCAGGTGGGGCCTTGAGGAACGGTATGGACAGGTGTATTTCGGGCAGCTGTATCTTATTTGCAATGGAGAACAACGTTTATCTGCCAACGGATGCCACTTTTCCTGTTGACCCGGACTGGACGCGGCGGTGGCAGAACCCATGATTGAATGGGTGAATGGGTGAATGGGTGATGGACTCACCCATGATTGAATGGGTGAATGGGTGAATGGGTGAATGGGTGAATGGGTGATGGACTCACCCATGATTGAATGGGTGAATGGGTGAATGGGTGATGGACTCACCCATGATTGAATGGGTGAATGGGTGAATGGGTGAATGGGTGATGGACTCACCCATGATTGAATGGGTGAATGGGTGAATGGGTGATGGACTCACCCATGATTGAATGGGTGAATGGGTGATGGACTCACCCATGATTGAATGGGTGAATGGGTGATGGACTCACCCATGATTGAACCTATCGTCGCCCACTTTCCCCCTCCCCCCCCATGATGCGGAGCGGAGCCCAGCCCATGATTGAATGCATCAACGCCGCTGTGAGAGCGGAGCCCAGCCCATGATTGAACGCATCAACGCCGGTGTGAGAGTGAAGCCCACTTCCCCGCCCCCCCCTTGATGCAGCTCTCACTGTATTCCACCTGCCGTGCTCCCCCTGTTTCTTCTCCTACAATGAGGCTGGGAGCGACTCTGTTTGCTGCCCCCATGCTGCCGTGGTTGAGAGCGTCTGATCAACGCCGCCAACTCCTCCTTCCTGGTTCTCAACTCTCTATCCTCCCACCCATTCCTCCTCCTACCTCCAGGTAGACAGAAACGTTCCTCTTCTTGCCGTGATGCTGCAGTAGCAGAGCGCATGATTGAAGTCATCGACGCTGGGAGAGTGAACGGTGAACCCCACTTCATTCCCCTTGTGTTTGTCTCTCTCGATTCCTACTCACCCATCTGACAGGTTGAGGCCAATATCGTGCGCTGCCCTGATGCTGCAATTGCAGAGCGCATGATCGACGCCATCGATGCTGTGAGAGTGAAGGGGGACTCGTGTGGCGGTGTGGTCACGTGCGTTGCCAGAAATGTGCCCCGGGTAAGGAGGGTCAGGGTGTACGATGTTAAGGGGCTTACTGTGATGGAAGGAATGTGCCAAGGGTAAAAGGATTCTTAGTTATGGACGATCGAGGGTTATAGCTTTCCGCCTCCCCTGTCCTGCCTCCGGTTAGGGCCTGGATTCGCCTGTCTGATGTCTCGTGGTGTCTCGTGATTCGCCTGTCTGGATTCCCGGCAGAGATGTCTCGTGCGCTGATGTCCTTACTACTCCCTTCCTCCTTCCTCCTTCCCACTTCCCTTCTCCATTCCTCACCCCCCTCCTCTGCTCCCCTGTCCTCCCCCCCATCAGGGCCTGGGCTCGCCTGTGTTTGACAAGCTCGAGGCAGAGCTGGCACGGGGGCTCATGTATCCCACTGCCTCTTGCAACCACTTGTGGCTCAATCTGCCTCCTTCCGCTCCTCCCTCCCCTCTCCCCCATCAGGGCCTGGGCTCGCCTGTCTTTGACAAGCTGGAGGCAGAGCTGGCACGTGCGCTCATGTCTCTACCCGCCACCAAGGGCTTTGAGATCGGCAGTGGATTCTCAGGTATGTTTCGCCCGCCTGAGATGCTCGTGCTTCTGTTCCTCTAGGCGCTCATGTCTCTTCTCTACCCCACACGTTGGCCAGCGAGCGAGCACAATAACGAGTTTTATGTGGCCGCAGTCGGAACCATTCGCATGCACACCAACTGATCAGACAGATTGACGTGATGCCCCTACCCCATGCATCCCCCCTTCCAATGTAGGCACTCGCACGCTGGGCAGCGAACATAATGATGAGTTTTACATGGCTCCAGATGGTGCCATTCGCACTCGCTCCCTTCTCCATTAACCACTCCCCTCTCCCCTCCTTGTCTCCCTTCCATGATGAGTTCTACGGGGCTCCAGACAGGGGAATTCACACATAACCCTAACCGCTCAGACTGCTTCTGTTATGCCCTGTCCCCATCCATCTCACCCTCTCCGTTCCAGGCACCCGCATGTTAGGCAGTGAGCACAACGACGAGTTTTATGTCGCTCTAGAGGCCATTTGCACTCGCACCACCAACCGCTCAGCCTGTTTCCTGTTGCCCCGTCCTTCTTCCCCTCTCCTCTTCAGGAACCCGCATGCTGGGCAGTGAGCACAACGACGAGTTCTATGTCGCCCCAGACGGGGCCATTCGCACGCGCACCAACCGCTCAGGCGGCATTCAGGGCGGCATCTCCAATGGGGAGAACATTGTTGTGCGCGTGGCGTTCAAACCGACGTCGACCATCACCGTAAGTTCTCCTTTGTTCTTTCCCTGTTTCCTTCCGTTTCCAACGCTTTTCAACATAGGAATCTAGTTTTGAGGCGCCTCAAAACTGTTTCTTCCGTTTCCAACGTTTTTCAACATAGGAATCTAGTTTTGAGGCGCCTCAAAACTGTTTCCTTCCGTTTCCAACGCTTTTCAACATAGGAATCTAGTTTTGAGGCGCCTCAAAACTGTTTTCTTCCGTTTCCAACGCTTTTCAACATAGGAATCTAGTTTTGAGGCGCTTCAAAACTGTTTTCTTCGGTTTCCAACGTTTTTCAACATAGGAATCTAGTTTTGAGGCGCCTCAAAACTGTTTTCTTCCATTTCCAACGCTTTTCAACATAGGAATCTCCCCTTTTCTCCCTTCAGTCCTCCTTTCCCTCCCTCACTGGAACAGAGGAATCAGCGCCTGGTGACGTGTGGGGACGTGGATAGAGAGAGAGGTTAAGGCAGCATGGGAGTCTCTGTGGTGGCGCCACTCACAAGAGCGCCCCACCCTATGATAATTTCTCTCCTGTACTTCCTTCCTCTTGTGCAGAGGAGTTTGCGCACTGTGACGCGCAAGGGCGTGGAGACTGAGGTTAAGGCATGTGGCCGACTCATAGGGCCTATAGCATGCATGTTCTCTCCTCCCTTGCTCCCTCGCCCCCTCACTTGAGCAGAGGATTCAGCACATGGTGGCACGGGAGGGCGTGGAGACAGAGCTCAAGGCACGGAGTGATTGATTATGCTAAACGCCATGATCTTTACACTTGGTTATTGATCCCCCGTCTACTCCCTACCATGAGCAGAGGAGTCAGCGCACGGTGACGCGCGAGGGCGTGGAGACTGAGCTCAAGGCACGCGGCCGACACGACCCCTGTGTTGTGCCCAGAGGTGGGTTGTGGTGATAGGGGTGGGTTGGGCTGGGTGGTTGGGCTGACAGGTTTGGGTTGGGCTGGGTTGTTAGGGGTAGCTTGTGCACGAGGTGTGTTTGTGCCTCACAAAAATGGCTTGCCAAAGGTTAAAGTTCATTTGGTTGGCAATTCTGCTGCCTGCTCTCCCTTGTGCCAGATGCCGCAGCGTGGTCGCTGAATCCATCCGCGTTCCCCTTTCTCTCAAACTCCTCTCTACCAGCTGTCCCCATGGTTGAAGCTATGGTCGCACTGGGGCTGGCCGATCAGCTGCTGCAGCACACAGCTCAGTGCGACCTCCTGCCTGCTGACGCTGCTTTTCCCAGACTCGTGTTTACGGCCCTTCTCCCCACCAGCTGTCCTCTACGGTTGAGGCTATGCTTGCACTTGTGTTGGCAGATCAGCGGTTGCAGCACGTGGCTCAGTGTGACCTGCTGTTGCCTCTTGATGTTCGTCATCCCTTGCATCTCCCTCCTCCCCACCAGCTGTCCCCATGGTGGAAGCCATGGTCGCACTGGTGCTAGCAGACCAGCTGCTGCAGCACGTGGCCCAGTGCGACCTGCTGCCAGCTGACGCCCTTGCTCCTGCTGCTGGCGCTGCTGGTGTTACGGGCGATAACCAGCGGCAAGCTACAGTAGTTGAGCAGTCTGCCATGTATAGCGAGCAGTGAGATGTGAGGGTGGTGCAGTGGTACCAGTTAAATAGTTGGCTAGGTTTGGTGACAATTATCTGGATTCCCTAGCTCGGGGTGGATTTGTCTGAATGAGGGAATTTGCAACTTTGCGCATGTGCTTGTGCATCATGCTCTTGCAAGGAAGTAGGTAGCAAGCTGATTACTACCTTAAATAAATACGTAGACAGAAAAGAGCCTTTAGTCTGTTGTGATCTAATTGATACTTAGCATTTCTGTAAGTCGATTAGGTGTAGTTAGTGTCGAATCCTACTGTAGAACATAAGTCCGTAGGATGACGTCAGCAAATAGCGCTCGTCATGAGGACAGTTGTTTCAGTTACGCAAACAGTCGCATCTCTTCATGATCATCTAGGGCGCATAGAGCGATAGTGACGAACAGGTACATTAGCGAATAGGTACTTTTCCTAGAACTAGAAATCCTTGTTAGGTCGTTTCATTATTAACCTTTATTACTCACAAGTTCACGTACTCAGGTTATTCAACATGTGACAGTTACCTTTTACAAGACTTCCGCTGTCTTACTAGTCTACCATTCCAGTAAAGATCATGAACCAACACTTGAGGATTTCCAAGTGTTCGTGTTTGCACTTTTATACTTAGTCTTCTACAACATTGGACAAGTTATTTCATGGTACCGTATTTCCCCGTATATAAGACCCGCCGAAATAGTCAACCCATGGGTGGCATATGCGGGGGTTAGCTTATGATATGGTGCATTTTTGAGAGCACCCACGTTTTTTAGTACGAATTTTACATAACACCCTCCATCGGGGATTTGTGGATTTGCTTGGTCTAGCGTGAAGGTTGTCAAGAAGAAAACTGAATAATTGTTGAGTAGAGAGAGAGAACAAGGGTATATACCTAATAGTGTTGTACCCTCTAAGAGGTGACCCTATACAGTCTATACAAATATGAGTTATACATATATTTGACACACCCCCTAGACTGCATAGAGGCAAATCCTGAACAAGCAGCTCAGGGTGGCACTACTAGTCCAGCCACTGAGACAAGGGTCTAAAGACCAGTCAAAAAGGAGTACAGGCAAGACAAAAAAACAAGACCAGGGCGGCACTACTAGTCCAGCCACTGAGAGAGGACACAAGTCCAGTCTGAGTACGTATAAAGATATATATAGGACAGTACAAAGTCAAGGTCCTAGCAAGTGAGAGGCTACAGGAACTAGACCGAGCTGTACACAGTGCCGCTGATGATCTTTAGGCGCAAGCACCTTCGTAAAGATATCAGCTGTGTTGGCACCGGAGGCCAAGTGAACTACGCGGGCCTGGCGGCGCTGCTGTAGCTCGCGCAGAAGGAAGTACCGCAGCTGGATGTGCTTCGCTCTGCCCTCAAGTCGAGGCTCCTGACACAGGAGGATCATGGCCCTGTTGTCAGCGTACAGGACCGGGGCAGAGTTAGGCCGCTCACCAAAGTCTGTGAGCAAGAAGGTCAGCCAGCGGAGCTCCTGTGCCGCCATGTCACCAGCGTAGATCTCAGCCTCACAGCTCGACTGAGCAACAGACGACGAACGAGTGGATCTCCAAGAGATGGCACCAGTCAAGGGGGAAACCAAGGAAGACACAGGAGACAGTGCGGGAAGTAAAGGAATCTGGTCGCGCACTTCTGTTACGTTGTTAAAACCCGGGATTCGTAGCCGTCGATGAAATCTTGTCACTTGCAAGAGGCCACTTTCCTCTTGTGCTGGCAGGACCGGCTTCCTCGGATTGGCTGCACATGCAGCACGTCATGACGTTATCGCCAGGCTGGCCCTAGTGGAGGTTGGGAATCGTCATCCAAACCTCGCTTAAGGTGTCATCCTGTACTGTGCATGCATTTCTGCGTGTTACGCCCCAAATTCATTTTGCATTATACATAAGATATGGGCATTATATTTTTCTAGCCTACTGTTAATACCCCCTCGTTTTTTAAATGAATTTTTGACATTACCCTAGGGTGTTATATACGGGGGAATAAGGTATGAGAGCTATCTGGAATAAGACTACTGTCAACAATGACTGGTTCATCACCAGCACCGTCTGCCGGATCAACTTCCGGAACTACTGGAGTACATGTCTCCACGACCGCCACTAGTCTCTCAGCCTCTGGGCCGTTTCCATCAGCCTATGCTCATATCGGTATGCAACAGCAGAATCCGCCTTCTGTTAACACTCCAGGTGTTTCTTCGACTGCACCTGCAGCGCAACAACAACAATCACAGACAACAGCACAGCAACAAGCGTCAGTACAACCACCGGTTTCAACGCAATCAATTTCATCTGCGTTTAGTGGAATGAGCCTTGATGGCTCAAGTTATATGCGTGGAGCCACAGCTCCAAGTACTGGTTCGCTCACTTTCTCACCTTTTGTACAGCAGCCGCAGTCGCAGCAGTTTCAGCATCCTTTCTACATCTTCGGTCGTTCCCCTGCTCAGCAACAACAGCAACAACAACAGCAACAACAACAGCATCATCAGCAGCCACAGCAATTCTAACAGCAACAACAACAACTACAACAGCAACAGCAACAACAGCAACAGCAACAATAGCAACAGCCATGTATTATTTTTCAGCCTCCAAATTTACTTAACAACACACATATAAAAACCACTATACCTTTTAACGGAGTCGACTTCTACTCATGGAGCTTTGAGTTTGAGCTTCTGGCACAGTCCGTTGGGCTATGGCCGTTCTTCACTGGCGAGTTCACGTATCCTGTCGTGGGAACACAACTGGAGCAGCAGAGTTTCTTGCACTCCTCTCTTGGGGCGTATACAGTTCTTGTTCGAAACCTGTCACCGAAGGAGGAGCTCAGCGTCCGATCATTTCACTCAAGCTTTACACCAGCCAAAACTTCTTGGAATCATTTGAAGGGGTGTACATGACAAAGGATACAATAACAGTGAGTAAAATACTTTCGCAGCTGACAAGTGTGCAGATGATGACAAACGAAAACGTCATGGACTACGTTAATCGCGTCCGTACACTACGAGATCAACTGGAGAAGAGTGGAGGATACTTCCCTCGTGAGATGTATCTCACAGTCCTTCTTGCTGGTCTTGGACCCGAATGGCGACAGACGCGCGCCTTCCTGCGAATGAACCCGAACCTTTCCAAAGCCGAAATCTCTTCATATCTTCAAGCAGAGCAGCAAGATCTTGACCTACAGTCACAACGCAATCAGAAGAAAGGGGTTCATTTAAGTTTTTACTCCAATCCAGAACCACAACAACGACATCCTAAAAAATATTCATTATGCCATTTTTGTAAGAAACCAGGACATACTTACCAAAACTGTCGCAGCCGTCATCAAAATCGCCACAGCACTTCTCAGCCATATCACCAATCGCAGCAGTTACCGAAGACACAACAGCCACTGCAACACTTAACGTCTCAGCAGCAGCAGATGCCGAAACCGTTGCAGAATCCATCGCCGTCGCCGCATCGCCCGCCGGTCTTCGCATCTGCCACATCAGGAAAATGGGTTTTTGGATGTGTTACAACAGTCGAAGTTTTAGAAACAGATTTCGAGACACATCTTGAAGAAACTACAAGTGCTGAAGGCATTCCCTTACCGCAAGTTTACGCTAACCTTGCTCGAGTTATTTCAGGTCCAAATACTTGGTATCTTGACAGCTGTTGTGGTTGGCACATGTGTTCCTCCGAAACAAGCTTCATCACCAACCAGCGACCGCTTCGTCGTCCGATACCTGTCACAGTTGCAAACAAACAAACGATTATGGCACGTTATGTTGGGAGCGTAATGCTCGAATCAATCGACACGGGATACTCACTCCATGTTACCAATGTTCTAATTGTCGCCAGTCTTGGCTTCAATCTTCTTTCCACGGCTCAACTCCTGGCACACAAAATTCGGACACAGGGCAATTGTGAAACAATGGATCAAGAATCATGGCACAGCCCAACAAATACTCACCTCGGCCGTGCCGCTACTCAACATGGTGTTTCCGTTCTTTAGTTTACAGCACAAGGAACTTCTGGTGACTCTGAACGCGTTCTTGCAATTGGTCCCTGGGATCATCCAGACGAAACAGATTATCAGCAAGTGGATATTGATTTTCGAGCAACTACTGTGCCAACATCTTCTCAAACTGCAGCCGCCGTACTCATCGCCTTAGATACCTGGGAGTTTAGTACCGCGGATGCAGGCTGCTACAACTGACATTCCCGAACCTGTAACCTCGACTGGCATACTTGAGTTATTCCTCTTGCAGATGCTGACTCAGATGATGTTCGCGAAGTTCGCCTCAGTTACGAACGCGATCGCCAACAGCAGCCGATGCCCGTCGTCTCCGACGAAGCAGTTCGTGTTACACTTGACGAAATTGGGGGGGAAGAAGGACCAGAAGAAAATTTCGCAGGTGCAAACGAAGAACGTCAGCGTTTTACAAAAACAGGATTACAGATACTTGGATTTGCAGTCGCAGTATAGTGCAACAACAGTAAGATACCTGAACCGAAAACCGTTCGACAAGCTCTTACGAGTCCTCACCAAGAAAAATGGCGTGAAGCCATGGACAAGGAGCTAGCAGCTCTTAAGAATCGTGGAACATGGGATCTAATACCGACATCAGAAGTAAAAGGGAAAAAGGTACTTACCGGAAAATGGGTCTTCCGTGTCAAGACTAATGCAGATGGGTCGTTTGAGAAATTCAAGGCGCGATGGGTTGTCCGCGGGTTCGAGCAGATTTACGGCATCGACTACGAACTAACATTTGCTCCTGTTGGTCGACATACAAGCGTTCGGATTTTACTCTGTGTCGCTGCCTGCCGTAATCTACGTCTTTGACGAATCGACGTGTCAAATGCGTTTCTCTACGCACCCGTTGACGCACTCATCCTAGTAGAGTACCCACATTCCTATGCTACTAACCCACCAAGCGTATGCCACCTCCGAAAGTCGCTATACGGCATTAAACAGGCTCCACGGCTCTGGCAGCAGTATCTTCAGTCACAGCTTATCACTGCCGGGTTTCGTCAGCTACCGCATGACCAGGGAATGTATCTTCTGACTGACGGCAGCAACTATATTTTACTCGTCGCCTACATCGACGATATCCTCTACGTCAGTACTACCGATTCTCTTGCCAATATCTTCAAACTAAAACTACAGAAAACTCTACAGCTTACAGTCTCCGAAACAGTCTCACAGTTTCTTGGTCTGACCATTTCCTGTTCACCGACGGCTATTCAACTTACCGCTTCGAAGTATGCAGCGATGCTCACTGCCCGCTTCAATCTCACTCCTACTG